AGAATATATGCATAGTTACTAGTCCATAAATAAATCCAAACAGTTACCATTCATTATTCTCATCGGGATATAAAAGAATTAAGATTTATGTGATTTCTTTTTGGGTATTTTGTATTTGGATTCAAAGTTAAATGGTTTTATACAAAAATTCCATTTTATTATTCAAATGTTGGTTAGTTATATTACTGTTATATTACTGAATTCCATACACAGAATAAATTAGAAAAATTGATTTATTCATTAGATTGTCTACTTTATTTTGAGTTACTTTAGGAAAGATGTGACTAAATGCACTTGGTGTTGTTTTACTTGTATCTTTCCATTGTTTTTTTTTAGGACTGCAATTGATCATTCTCTTGTTGGCATATGAGCATCCTGTGCGGATCGCTTCGACTTAATCTTAAGTCACAAGCTTGATAAGCATAGATGGATAGTGGCTAACAGTGGAATCCAGTTTGACGCAAGTTTCGTCCTATTCGTGACTCGTCAACTGGATGTACCTGCATCCCAGAGTTGATGTTCACTACAGGACTCGAACCCAGTACCATTCGCTCCAAACGCCATCGCGTTATCCACTTATCTACTGAGTACTGATAGTCACCTGCTTGTGCAATGGGGTGAAGTCTAAATTCACTTTGCTTAAAAACATGTGAATTAATGTTAAAAAGAAAATTTTGTATATCCGTAAATTGGCTTGATTAGTTATCAGCCAAATCAAGGCAGTATTTCAGTTTCATTGTTAACATCATATAATGACCCTTGTTAAACAACCATCAAAAACCATGAGACAATGAAACTCTATGATAGTTTGCATCCACGATTCTCCCACCAGAGGTTAAACCTTCTTTCTCAGATGTAATTAACTTAACCTCTGAACCACTGAGCTAAAGAAATTTCAAAAGTTTCCATCTATCTTTATATTCAGTAATTTACTTGTTGAGAATCGAAGTGAATACTAACAAGATTGCATTTTCATTCTAGTTATGAATTTTATAACTGACAGTTGTATAATTATAAGTTAATTGGTACCACCTGAGTATTCACTTATTTCATTATTGATAAACCATACAAGTAAATGAACAAATTATTACCCATAGACTTTCACCCTGAGGGGATTATATTCTATAAAAACATATCGTTAAAACGTATTCTAACCTAATTGGAAATACTGTTTAAGCTACTCAATCCCACGAATAATATGTGAATAAAACGAATGCTTTTAGGACAATATTATAGGACTAAAAATGTTCTATTTGTAAGAATCATTTAGTGTATTTGAAGCTTACATTATTACTATCTAATATAATAAAAATAGATAAATAAGTAAATGATACTATTTATATATATATATATGTTATCTATAAGTTCTTCTTACCGTTTACCCGCTCGAAGTAAAAAATGTTGCTTCACGATTGGATTGCATCGACACCTGAACTAATGATAGGGAATGAAGTAATTGAGCGTGTCGACAGCTTCACTTATCTTGGAAGTCTCATCAGCCGTTGTGGTCTAATGTGTGACGAAATCTCGGCACGGATACAGAAAGCTCGACTAGCTTTTGCAAACTTGTGTCATTTATGGCGTAGGTGAGATATCCATCTACCAACCAAAGGATGGGTTTAATGCGCAGCAGTTCGTTCCGTCCTACTTTATGGCAGTGAAACATGGCCGGTAAGAGTAAAAGCTATTCGTAGGTTGCTAGTATTTGATGGTAGGTGTCTTCGAAACATCACTCGTATATCCTGCGATCATCGAGTACGTAACTCAGTTGTTAGGAAACATGTACTAGGTAAGGATGGAAAATCAATTAATGAAGAAGTGAAACGTCATCAGTTGAGATGGCTAGGACATGTGTTACGTATGCCCAACCACCAACTGCCCCGACGTGCGATGTTTTATGGTGTAAGAGTAGGTTGAAAGAAAGCTAGGGACGGCTAGACCAAAACACGGCACAAATTCATGACGTTACCGACAAGTGCACTGTGTGAGCCATGTTGGTAGGTGTAGACTACGTGGTTGGGATCCGCAAGATGATAGCAATCAACGGTAAGAGACCTTGAATGACATGGCTCAAAATCGTTTGCAGTGGCGCAGGTGCATCCACTCTTTGTGTTCTCCCAAATTCTAATCTTCTGAATTCTTCTTGTCCCCATTTTTTTCTCTCTTTTCGAATTTATTTCATTGAATTATACTCCTTGAATAACATCTTCAAACCCTGATCATTCCAATTACTGTTTATACTTGTACTAACTCTACCACTATGAGATTTGAATAGACAACTGCATCTCTTTGCTAATGTAGTATAGCAACTTGAACTGATGTACGTACGTAGGAAGTTCTACATTGTTGATGACTGACTTTCTGGATGGCTATGACAATAATCTAAACTGTTTCAAATCGTTCATTATTCATGCAACATCATTTTGCTGCTTATTCTAATTGAAATTAATTCATAAAGTGACATATGACAGTTTATTCGTTTCATTATAAAATTTTCATGCATATAGTTATTACAAATATGTTCCAGAATAGAACAATAGTTGACTATCCGATATCAGCTAATTTATACAAAAGTACTTTTAACATGTAATTCACAGTTTTACTTTTATACAGGAATATATTGTCAATGGGTATTTTTCATTTTAAAACTTCACTCATTTCATAGTTTAGATGTTATATTTATAAAGCAATTTTGTTTTAAAGGTTAAGTTAATTCATGAATGTATTTGTTTGTGTATAATTGAAGTATCCTGATAATGAAACTTTTGTGGAGGTCCGTTATTTCATCGTCATTTAAATCGAACAAATGTAGTCGAAAAGGCTTTCCACTTTAGTGGCCCGTGGATCTGATTCCAAGGCGATTGTAATGATGATTGTTGTTGAAATGTATATGTCGCCTATCCTCGTATATAATCATCGACTTTAATTGCGTTAGTCAATAGCGGATTTAGATGAGTCAAATAACGAGAATGGATTTTTGAATACATATATTTTGTATATGAAGCGAATGGACACGTAGTGGAGATGGCGGGTAAGCCAATTCCCATTTAACCAAGCGTTAATCAATATTTATAGGCACACAAAAATAAGTTACAGACATGTAATGAGTAATGGGATAAGAAATGTATACACACTTAAGCGCTCATATAAAAACAGAGAAGATTGATAGGCGAATAATTAACAAGGTCAGAATGTAGAATGAATAGAATGGGCTGTCCGAAAGTTAGAATAAGGTATATGGGCTTAACATAATAACCGACACTAAAAAACATTAAGAAATGACTTATTACATTTTTCACTTTTAATTACATGAATTACTTACTTAGGCCTGTTACTCCTAATGGAGCATAGACCATTGACCATCTACTCTGTCCTGGGAATTACAAGAATAAGAAGCTAAATTTTGAAACAAAAGACGTAGTGTTTAAACTGTGAGATTAAAATTACTTTTTCATTAAATTACCCTTCCTTTCACAAATGATTTAATACTACTAATAGTATAAAATAAGTTATGATTTGAATTGTTAAGTTCAATCATATGTAACTATAAAACTTAGCAGATTGAATTTGATACTCATTGAAAGTATCCATACAAGAAAGACTATAGTCATAATGACTAATACCAGTTAACATGGAATGTACATTAACTAAGACTTTTCGCTGATTTTTTTTATCAATATTCAAATATAATTGGTTATTAGAGCATTTGATCCATGAAGTTTTGAGACATGTCAGTAGAAATTGACATTTACTTATAATTGACACAGATTTGCAATACAGTCTGTTCAGTTTTGTAAGTTTATTTAGATACTTCTAAATCTTTGAAAAGAATATCATTTTCGTGTCAATCACATATGAATGAAGTGAGTATGATAGTATTCATAGCAATGGTGGAGAAGATTTATAGATCAGGTGGATCATTTGGATGGAGATTTTTTCTCTGAGCTGGATGGTTTGATTGTGGAGCTTTCATCATTCTTCTGAACGACGTGATCAGCAGAAACCTTAAGTAGAATTGAAGTGTTCCAACTTCTCTACATATGGCTCACGTTTTGTCTTGTTAACCTCGATCTTCTTTGGTAGGTCAACATTAATCAATGAAGATCTACAGGACAAATTGTGGATTATATGTGGAGACATTTTAACACTTGACTTCTACTTAAAGTTTGTACTGATGATGTTGTTTATAAAAACGGTGAAAGAACTACAACCAAAACATCCAGCTCAAAGAACAAAACTACATCGAAAAGTATTCATAAAAATCAGGATCAATGAACAGTTATTTCTATTTTTAGTAATGTAAAAATTCACTTGATGTTGTTTCACTTGTTTCTTCCTATTGTTACTTAGAACTGTAATTGATCAGTCTCTTGTTGGCATATGTGCATTCTGTGCGGATTGCCTCGATATACTCTTAAATCATAAGCTTTTTAAGCAAAGATGGATAGTGGTTAGCAATGGAATCTAAGACGCATGTTTCGTCCAATTCGGGACTCGTCAGGTGGGTGCAACTGCATCTCAGAGTTGATGTTCACACCACTGCTAGCCACTATCCATCTTTGCTCATTAAGCTTGTGACTAGACTATATCGAGGTAATCCACATAGAATCCACATATGTTAATAAGAGACTGATCAATTGCAGTCCTAAATAACAATGGGAAGATACAATTAAACAACACCAAGTGAATTTAAACTTGATCCCATTTTACAAGTAAGTGGCTCCCACGACTCAGTAGCTAAATGGATAACGCGATGGCATTTGAAGCGTACGGTACTGGGTTCGATCCTCGAAGTGAACTTTGAGATGCAAGTACATCCAGCTGACGAGTCCAAAAAAGAGGACGAAACGCGCGTTGTGGATTCAACTGCTAGCCACTATCTATCTTTTCTTATTAAGTAATGTACATTTTAGTTCATTAATATATATGTTAATTTTATTATACTACTCTAAATTGTATTGGAAATGTTTAATATACATCTTTATATGTTTATATTTTAGTGTATTTTTGAAGCAACAACTGTAGATGATTTTTGTGAAGAATTAAAAAATTTTGCTAATAATGAATGGAAATTATTAAATCAATTAAGAAATTTCATTTGTACTAACAATATTACTACCAATGCAACAACAACAACAACTACTACTACTACAACTAGTACTAGTAGTAGTAGTACTACCACTACTACTTCTACCACAAATAATAATAATAATAATAATAATACAGTAACAACAAAAGCAATTAACATTTTTACTACCCCTAATAGTAATGAAAACATTGTAGAATCTGAAAACATTCAATCAAATACAGAATTAAATGAGGTAAGTCCATTAATCTACAATAATGAATAATTCTATTTAACTTCATAAATACTCCTTTAATAATGATGATTTCAGTAATCAGGTTAATATAATCATCTTTTAAACAAGAATTTTACAGTCATATCCTAATGAAGATTAGATTACGAATAACGTCTGAGATCTATCAATGGATTAATATTATCTATACAGAGTTCCTGAGAAGATTATCAATATTATCCGGAACTCATACGACGGACTACAGTGCAAGGTCGTGCATGGAGGACATCTGACAGATGCATTCCAAGTAAGGACCGGAGTCAGACAAGGCTGTTTACTCTCTCCCTTCCTCTTTCTTCTGGTGGTCGACTGCATTATAAGGACCTCGACATCTGAGAGGAAAACACGGAATACAATGGACAGCTCAGAATCAATTAGACGATTTGGACTTCGCAAATGACCTAGTCCTCCTATCGCATACACATGAACAAATGCAAATAAAGACAGCCAGTGTAGCAGCAGTCTCTGCATCAGTAGGCCTCAGTATACACAAAAGGAAAACCAAGGTCCTAAAATTCAAAGCGGAGAACAGCAATCCAATAACTCTTGATGGCGAAACTCTGGAAGAGGTGGAATCCTTCACATAAATGGGAAGCATCATCGATGAGCAAGGAGGTTCAGATGCAGACGTAATGGCGAGGATTAGCAAAGCAAGGACAGCATTCCTACAGTTGAAGAAAATATGGAACTCAAAGCAACTTTCAACCAATATCAATGTGAGAATCTTCAAGACAGTCAGTTCTACTGTACGGAGCTGAAACGTGGAGAACTACAACAACCACCATCAAGAAGGTACAAGTATTTATAAATAGCTGTTTACGCAAGATACTCAACATCCATTGGCCGGATGCCATCAGCAACAGCCTTTTATGGGAGGGAACAAACCAGCTTCCAGCTGAAGAAGAAATTAGGAAAAGACGATGGAAATGCATAGGACATACATTTCGCAAATCATCAAACTGCATCACGAGGCAAGTCCTAACTTGGAATCCTGAAGGGAAGCGGAAAAGAGGAAGGCCAAAAAACACATTACGTCGGGAAATAGAAGCAGATATGGAAAGGATGAATTACAACTGGATGGAGCTAGAAAGGATTGCTTTGGACAGGGTTGAATGGAGAATGCTGGTGAGCGGCCTATGCTCCTTCACGAGGAGTAACAGGCGTAAGTAAGTAGGTATATATTCTTATCGTATAACTATTCAGTAATTAAATTACGTATATTCCCCTTATTATAAGCTTCGTTTTGACCTATAATGTATTATTGTACGATTTACTGCCCCTAAATCATGCTCAGTTTATTCATTACTGTCTCCCATGTTCACAGCCACATTTTGGCGAATGTTATTTCCTATTTTATGATGCGTTGAGGTCTGTTTGGTCGATGTGTAAACCTAATATGTCTTAAATAAATGATTCGCATAGTGGAAGCTGGTATTAGTGTTCTGAACTCAACTGGATGGGCTAGGCGAACATAGGACTGATAAGAACGCTAAGCTGCTCATACCGGTCGAACGTCATTGGTTTGGCACAGTATGAAAATTGTATAAATCGTATTTCGATTGACGGATAAGTCACGTGATAATAAGCCGGACATAAATTCGCAACAGTTACCGGATGAATTTAGCCTGCTTTGAACATCATGGTTACCTGTTCCTATCATCTAGATACTTCAACAAGTAATTTAATTTCATTACATCATTATGGTTATTAATCACATAAACAATTCAGGTGCGTTCGTGAAAAATGTACAACCTTTCTTTGTACAAGTTATATAAAGCCCAATCAAAGATATTGTGGTTGCTGCCAATGTTCATTGAAAAGAATATATACATTATTCAGATATCGATTGATTGGACTGTTAACTACTAACTGCCGATCACTTAATATTTATCGCCAGGATCGATCAAGAAATAAGAAACGAAAACTCGATGAAATACTTTGTGCTGAAAATTCTATGTTGCACTAAAAATATAATGTTGAATAAAGCCACTAATAATAGTGATTAATAATAATAATAATAATAATAATAATAATAATAATAATAATAATAATAATAATAATGGCCGAAGACATCATTTTCGGAATACAGGATTCATATCGCAGAGGCTGAGATTGGTGTTCTGGACTTAATTGGTTGGGCTAGTCAGGAAGCAGGACCGATAAATACTCTAGACTGCTCTCGCATTGGTTTATGCGTCACTGGTTCAATCGATAATTTACTGCTCTTTAATTAGCGGTATCATTACGTTATACATTAGCAGGGCACGCAGGCCACAAGGTATAACAGACGTGAAAAATACATCCAAAAAGATATCCTGTATCTGAATATACAGATTCTTATTTGTTATTTTACCCTTATCAATAGTTATATGTATTTAATAATTGAATTCATGAGCCGTTGGAAGTTAGACCACCATGAAAAACCTGGGAGCACTGGATAGCCGTTTCGTTCTAGTGCGCATCCACGATCTCGCTCGTGGGTCTCGAACCTAGGATCTTCACTGGCGCTCGCGAACGCTTAACCTTCGACGGTGTCAATGTCTAATTTCAACCATCTTTATAAAAAATAACCAAAATGTGTAACATTTAACCTTGATTCATCAGTAAATTCATGCATTAGTACAATACACTACATTGTAAAATCAAAATATCACAACAAGCAAAGATTACTTATTTACTGAGTTGTATAAGTAATCCCTGTTAACACTACTCTCCTTTGTAATTGAATTTATGCGAATAGGTTTTTTATTGTGTATCAATTAGATGTGATGTCGGTATCTGTTTCCTCAATCATTTCGTTGATGTCGGTTTTTATAGCTTTAACCGATACACTAACATCTTGGATTATCCGTTATCAGTGACTAACTGATCAGCCGACAAATTTTTGGAACGACTTAAATATGTTAAGATCACCTGTTCATTTATAAATGACTGATCACTGGGTAGTAGTAGTAGTAGTTGTTGTTGTTATGTATATCAAGTCATTCTTCGTACGGATAGAGTTCTGTCGATCAAGTTGTAATATGGTCACTAGTCACTAGGTAATTCGACAACGCGTTCACTTTGCTAAGATGTAAATTCACGTCCCGGAAAGCTCAGTTTTATCATCTCTGACTTTGAAGTTGAATAACAAAGGATTGAATTCGTCAGGCACTATCAATTTCTCTCAAGATTACAAGTACTTCTTTTTTGATGAATACCAAATAGTATTAAGCATAGATCTAGTGTTTTTTTGTCGATTAACTTCATTGTATGTTACTTTGATTGTTACATCTTATCAGTTTTGATAAAAGAAATTGAATAAAACTACGTTTAAATTTCATTTTGCATATGAGTTTTTCATTGATCATTATTCTTCAAAATTAGAATGTACACAAATCAGAGCATAGTTTGATCAGTTTCTGTTGTTATGTTTAAAAAACACAATTCCTCATACCTAATTTTAAAGGCTTTATCATTATCATTATCATTAAATGCGCAATTATTGCACTTAACTTGCTTGTTTTAAATTTGTTATGAATGAATCACTATGGATACTAACTGGAAGTACTCACATGGTAATTAAAAAGGATCACATATTGCTATGAAACTAAATACTAGAAACTTTAAACACTTTATAGGATGAGAACTAAACTGGTAACCAAACTTTCATGATTGTATGAGGGTAGTGACAATTTTAAAATTTGAATTTATTTTGTATTGTTTGTTTGATTTTTTTCAATTGATGATTATAATTGCAAATTGATCCATCTTTTATTGGCATACGTTTATCCTGTGCGGATCGTTTTCATATTACCTTACGTCACAAGCATTGTGAGCGAAGATGGATGGTGGCTAGCAGTTAAATTCAGGACATGCGTTTCTTTCTATTTCAAAACTCGTCAGCTGGATGAACCGCGATGAACATCAACTCTGAGATGTAGGTCTGTCCAACTGATGAGTCCTAAACAGGACGAGATGCGTGTCCTGGATTCCATTGCTAGCCATCATCCACCTTCACTTGTAATTTTAAATTATGTTCTAAATAATTACTATTTGAATATATACTTCAAGAAATTAGTGCCGAAGTTTTTTATGGCGAATAAAGCGATGATTATTAATTTCACACTTTGCATTTTAGATTTTCCTAAAAGATGAGTGTAGATTTCAAATGAAATCAGAGACTAGACAGCCGACAATTAAAGAGTCCGTAGATAATGAAATAGCATCAACGGATGAACTGAAAGCCAATGTTATTGATTCTGTCACTGTGCTACATGAGCAAGGAAAGTAAGTTTACTGTTATTATCAAATATTGTATAGCATCTTATTTGAGATAAATATAACTGAAATTTTAATTATAATAACAATGCGTGTATCTAGAAAGTAATAATATACTATATGCAACAAGTGATGTATATATGGACCATCTGTTTTTTGGATTTTATTGAAATCACGAACCGATCTATGTTAGATCACCATCGAAAACCTGGAATCACTGGACGGCCGTATCGTCCTAATGTGGGTCTGCTCAGCGATTCCCATCTACCACACTTTATACAGGACTCAAACCTAGGGCGAACGCATAAACTTTAGATCAATGAGTCTGCATCAAACCGTGTTGAAATCTAACTTGAATCAATTTACGACACTGTGTGACTATCATCTATTGTTTTAGTTAACTGCTTCACACGCTACACAGATTTGCTCCACTGAATACGGTTACTTACTGGAACTCCAGGAATTTCCTCTCAAGATTGGTCACTAATGGACACATTATAAATGCCAGGAAGTGGTTACGGAAATTGCCAAATTTCATTGACAGACAGTTTCGAAAAAGACGCTAAGTAATTAGAAATAATATTGGTGTTGTGAACCGACCAAATTTGGTTATCCGCTGAAAACTAAAAAGCAGTTTATAGCTGTTTTGAACTATTATGAAACGCCTTTGCAGTACGCATCAAAGAGATCAGAGATCATTGGCCAAAACAATAATGACTTACTTACGCCTGTTATTTCCAATGGACGGTAGGCATCCAACAAACATTCTCCAACCCACTCTGTCCTGAGTCTTCATTTCTAGTTCTATCCAATTGTTGTTCAGTCTTCTCATGTCTATCTCCACTTATCGGCATAACATGTTCTTTATTTTTCATCTTCTCCTTTGACATTGAGGATTCTATGTGAGGGCTTGCCTTGTGACGCAGTTGGGTGCTTTCCTCAATGTGTGTCCCATCCACTTCCAGCGCATCTTTGCGATTTCTTCCTTCACTGGAATCTGGTTTGTTCTCTCCCATAGTTGGTTGTTGCTGATAGTGTCTGGCCAACAGATCCGGATTTTTTTGTATAGACAACTGTTAATAAACACTTGTATCTTCTGGACGATGGCTCTCGTAATTCTCCAGGTTTTCGTCTCATACAGTAAAATTGTCTTGACATTGTATTGAAAATTCTCAGTTTGGTGTTGGCTTGTAGTATCGGTTATCATGTCAAGCCCATATACCTTATTCTAGCTTTCGGACACGCCAATCTATTCCTTCTAGTTGAATCATATTTTGACCTTGTTAATTATTCTCTTATCAATCTTGACTGCTTTTATATAAGCATATGCTTGTACGCTTCTTATTCTATTCATCACATGTCTGTAACTTTTTTTGTGTAACTACAAATATTGATTAACGCTTGGCTAAAGGGGATTTGGCTGACCAGCCATCTCCACTGCTCGTCGTTCCTCTTCTCTCTGTGACATTCGCTTTTTATACAAAATATATGTATTCATAAGTCAGTACTTGTACTTGACTTATTTAATTCCGTTATTCACGCAACGTGGATTAAGTCGATCAAGATATACGAGAACAGTCAGGATATACATTTCGACAACGATCATTCATAAGATCAAATTGGAGTCAGATCCACGGGTCACTGAAGTGGAGAGCCAGTCAACAAACATCGTCCGATCTAAATGACAACAAAATAAAGGGCCCCACAAATGGTTTAGAGACAGTTGTTTAGAGTTCCAGATAATCTTCAGTTGTCGATATGTTGCTCTTACGTTGTCGATTCGTGCCTTCACATCTGCATGAGATCCACTGTGCTCGTCAACGATACTACCCCGATATGGGAAGTTTTTACATCTTCCAAAACAATATCTATGCAATAATTCATACACTAAAAACTATGAAATTAGGAAATACAAGGAAGTCTTTGGCACTAATACATAATAAACATCTTGCTTAGTGTTGACTGTTGTTAGAGACGTAAGTCATTAAATGTCAACTTAATAATTTGAATGACAAACACATACTAAAAGACCCTGAGGTGTCCTTGCTTTGAATCCTGGTGAACAAATGAGTGCCCATTGCTGAGTACTTCAACTCTAAGACAAACCAGCTGTAGAGATTTCTGCTTCCTAATAATACTCCAACTGACATTAGTCTGTGACAAATACGATCTACAAACATAAACATTATAAATTTATTCTAAATACTATTCACGATTGATGTATGGGCGAGAATGATAATGATTGGTTATCTGCTTAGTCAAACATGCAGATAGTCTGACAGGTGTCAGATGAGTTTTATTTTCCCTTATCCTTATTATTATTATTATTGATTGTTCATTGTTGTTGGATTGTGTCGAGTTTTGGTGTGGAAATATATTTACTTTCTAGTCAGGCTAATCACGTGTTCATGATCTGAGTTGTGTTGAAGTTCTGTAGAATCGACACTAGGAAGGAAATCTACTGTAGATATTCGTCTAAGGTAAATTAACGTCCCATACGTGTAAACGTGTAAACCCAACCACTATAACCGAACGTTCTAACAACGATACAATGATTATCAAGTTCCATATTAATTTATTATTATTATTATTATTATTATTAATTTTTGTCCATCTAACTTTCAGTTTTCCATAGTTTCCCATATGTATAGATGAAAACTATGTGTACACATAATAAGTATTACACAAAATGTCACTTTCTTTCATGTCAGTTTATTAGACTTACGAAAATTTGATAAATTTCATTATATTACCAATGTGTATCCTTTTTATTTTTATTTTTACATGCTTGTAACTATGCGTTTTTGTGTTTGATCTTGTGTGTGTGTGTGTGGGTGCATGGGTGTGTGTGTGTATATATATGTGGTTGTTAGTTTTGAAAAAATAAATAAATAAAAATTCCACCTTTCACATGAACTGATTTATTTGCATAGATTTATGCGTATATATTATTGATCTATCCTGAAAATAGATTCTTTATAATTTATTATACTATAGTGATATTTCTGAAACAACAACAACAACAACAACAACACAAAAAACACAATGATAATGTTACCATGAATTCAGTTTAATTTGATTTTAAGATGGTGGTTGAAGGTACTCAACAGGAAACCGTGAACTTAAGTTCCGTGCTATTTGGCACTCGTCAGTAAGGTGTATCTGTAATCTTGAAAGAATTGGTGTTTTTTGATGATTTCAATTCCGTATCACCCAGTTTCATAGTCAAAGATGTTACTACTGAGCTATCCGGATCGTGATTAACCTCCTGTAGGACTGAGATGTATTCACAATTGATTGATCAATGGTTGGTAATCAATGTCATGTTTTTCAAGTCCTTCTTATTGACTACCTTCAACCACCATCATAACTTAAAATAGTGTACGCAATGTCGAGTCAGTTAGACTAGTGGCCACATTGCAACTTGGTCAATAAAATTTGATCTGCATTAAGAAAGACATGACATACATGACATTGGTCACTACTCAATGGCCAATCAATTGTGATTAATTTGATTATAGTTATCTTAAATTAATACGCACAAAATGAGATGAGCTGTTTAATCTTAAAATAACTGTCTTAAATATAGCAGTTTTATACTCTTTTATAAGTATTTAAGTGATAGGCAACTTTTTAGTCACGTATATTAAATCTTACTTCTACAAATGTTAGGATGAATGGTGATAGACTCCATGTTCAACGAGTAGTAGAATGAAGATATAAACTATGATTTAAGTTTCTATATATATATACATATATAGAATCACGTAATTTCCATCACTTCAAACAATCATTCCTTGTCTCATTTCAAATGATAGAATTTATTCGAATTAAAAATGATACAATATTTTTTTTATCTACTTACATCTATACTGGACCCTGAACTCACTGAACGGCCGTTTCGTCCTATTGTGGTACTCCTCAGCAGTGCACATCCACGATCCCAGCTCGGGAAATTCAAACCCAGGACCTATCGTTCTCGCGCTAGAATGCTTAACTTCTAAAATCAATTGAGCCATACTATTTGGGCTAAAAATATTAAGCCTAGACGGTATTTGGCTCTCTTATTAAACAGGATTGAGCTATACTGTATTGAGTTGTCACATGAAAGTCTGAATGATGTTCACTTACTTACTTACTTACGCCTGTTACTCCTAATTGAGCATAGGCCGCCGACCAGCATTCTCCAACTCTGTTCTGGCCCTTCTTTCGAGTTCCATCCAATTCTTGTTTATTCTTCTCATGTCTATCCCCATTTCCCAGCGTAATCTGTTCTTTGTTCTTCCTCTTCTCCTCCTCCTTTGGCTTTGAGGATTCCATGTGAGGGCTAGTCTTGCGAAGCAATTCGGTGCTTTTCTCAATGTGTGTTCTATCCACTTCCAGCGCATCTTCCTAATTTCTTCCTCCGCTGGGATCTGATTTGTTCTTTCCCACAGTTGAATGTTGCTAATAGTGTCCGAACAATCCAAACCCTATTTAATTATTATTACGTAATCTACCTTATCATTATTTAATTCCATTAATCTCTACAATTATCACACAATTTATGAACTTCACTAAATTATTACACCCCCACCCTGGATTAACCCCCCCTCTTTTGACCTCTGACCTGTTTCTAGCATATATATATAGTTATTATTGTAATCACGTTATTTACACTCATTTCTGTCAATTGTTTCACACTATCTCCATGTAAAAATTCTATCACAATTTTTGGTTTGTAAGCAGCTGACGAGAAACCTCGAAATAATATGAATTCATACTATTCTGCATCAATGTTTGTTCTTGCTCTATTTAAATTCATAAAGGGAACCAATTGCATGACAGATCCGAAGTATTTTGCATAGACAACTGTTAATAAACACCAGTATCTTCTGGATGATGGCTTTTGTAGTTCTCCAAGTTTACGCCTGATACATTAGAACTGTTTGACATTTGTATTGAAAATCCTGAGTTTGCTGTTGGTTTAGAGACAGTTGTTTAGAGTTCCAGATGTCCTTCAGTTGCAAATATAGTGCTCTCGTTTTACCGATCCGCGCTTTCACCTTTGCATGAGATCCACTGTGTTGATAAATGATGCTGCCTGTACATGGGAAGGTTTTTACATCTTCCAAATCTTCTCCGTCGATTGTGATTGGATTGTTGCATGTTGTTTTGTAACGGAGAATCTTGCTTTTCCCTTTGTTTATATTGAGACCTAATGCTGCTGAGGCTGCTTCTACACTGATCATTTTTTCCTGCATTTGTTCTTGCGTTTGCGATAGAAGAGCCAGATCATCTGCGAAGTCTAGATTGTCCAACTGCATCCTAGATGTCCACTGTATCTCATGTTTCCCTTCAGATGTTGACGTCTTCATAATCCAGTCGACCAGGAGAAACAGAAAGTGTAAGAGTAAGCAACCTTGCCTAACACCAGTCTTTACCTCGAACGAGTTTGTCACTTGAATGATGTTTAATTCTCCTGAAAACCAAATGTCATACATTACCTTATCTCACAAGAATATATAATATAACATCTATATGATTTATATTACTTAAATTCTATTATATCATGCAAAATGTGTTCTTTCTTTCTATTTTTGTTTTTGTTTTTTTTAAAAAAACCCTCTGGGTAACAATTTTAGTGTATTTTACTATAAGAATAAGTTTTTTAAAAATTTTTTTTCTATTTTTTCTCGTTGTTATTGTTGTTTTCTTTTTTTTTTCTTCTTTCAACTCAGGAAATTTAGAGAATTTATCTCCGTACGAAAACCTAGAAACTCAGGTATGTAGTAGTTTTCTAACTAAAAAAACAAAACTTTTTTAGTGATTTAACCTGACTTACTTACTTACTTACACCTGTTACATTTCACATAGATTATCTGATTCCAATAGCTTCTACTTACGCCTGTTACTCCTAATGGAGCATAGGCCGCCGACCAGCATTCTCCAACCCACTCTGTCCTGGGCCTTCTTTTCTAGTTCCATCCAATTCTTGTTCACTTTTCTCATGTCTATCTCCATTTCTCGGCGTAATGTGTTCTTTGGTATTCCTCTTTTCCTTTGGCCTTGAGGATTCCATGTGAGGGCTTGTCTTGTAACGCAGTTGGGTGGTTTCCTCAATGTGTGTCCTATCAACGTCCTGATTTCTTCCTCCACTGGGATCTGGTTTGTTCTCTCCCACAGTACGTTGTTGCTGATAGTGTCTGGCCAATGGATCTGAAGTATTTTGCGTAGACAACTGTTAATAAACACCTGTATTTTCTGGATGATGGATTTCGTAGTTCTCCAAGTTTACGCCTGATACATTAGAACTGTCTTGACATTTGTATTGAAAATCCTGACCTTGGTGTTGGTTGACAGTTGCTTTGAGTTCCAGATGTTCCTCAGTTGTAAATATGCTGCTCTTGCTTTGCCGATCCGCGCCTTCACAACGATTTAACCTGAGGGGGGGGGTGAAATTTTTTTGTAATGTATTTGATCATTTAGAAAGAAAAAAAAAATAAACAACCACATTTTATAGAGATGTAAATGTATTCTCTTTCAATTATATTTTAGAAGTTGGTACAATGTTCTTGTTTAATAGTAGAGTTGAATTAATTTACATTCAAATTAGATTCGATGGGTTAGTGTGTTATTGGTTTATTTTGTTGAAAGTGAATTAGTTTTCTATGCATCAATCAAATCATATTTGATGGAGAAGTTTTAGAGGATTTATAATGTAAACTTCGTAAACCCTAATGATTACACCTATACTATTCAAACATCACTTAAAGCACTATATTATTATTAATGACTTTATTCAATATTATAGTTTTGGTACAATATAGAATTCTCAGCATAGGGTATTTCAACAAGTTACTTACGCAAAAAATAAAACAGTGACAAAGACAAAAAAAGGAAAATAAAGTTAAAAAACCGAAAAACTGTACAACTTTTCAAATTAGAGACATGTTAAGAATTGACTAGGTTAACTCTAGGTACGGTATTATAGAACTTTTATAACTTTGCTTGCGTGCATGGATTTTAATGTAATTACGTCTCGTTCTACCAGAAGATATACAAGGAGAAAGATAAGAGTGAAGAGGATGGTTAGTATCTGATAAAATAACATCTGCCAGGAGTTTGCATGACTTTAAATGTCTATCCACAACCGTATTAATTATGACCTCGAAAGAATCACCACACATCTTACTAACTGCCTTCAGCACTCTCCTCAATACAGCAAAGTCTTTTCTCAAAAGCCCGGGAAAGAAAAATGGAGAACAGTAGAGAATAATGGGTAATATGCAAGGATTGACAAATTGTAAGAGTAAATGACAAGTAATCCCAAGAGCATGCAATTTCTTTATGTAGTAAGCCAAACGGAAAACATTCTTCGACAACAATATCATTGATGTAGATAAATATTTTATTCGTCTTACTTGATTTCTAATTTTAAAGATCTAGTTATGATGCCCATTATTTTGTTAAATAGACGATGCAGAATATATTCATTATATGTCAACATTGACATTCCAATGAATCTACGAAAGTTTTTTCTGAGGTTATAGAGAATATTTGTAGTTCAGGTGGATGATTTTGATAGTTTTGTTCTCTGAGCTGGATGGTTTGGTCATAGCGCATTCATCATTCATTCTGAACATCATCATCAGTACAAACTTAAGATAGAAATGAAATGTTCGAATTTCTCCATATACGGTTCACAGCTTGTTCTGTATACCTCAATGTTGATTGGTTCTTATTGACCTTAAACCTGTCATTGTTTACTTCTTTGTTTTGATTTTTTTTTCTCAATCACTGAACTCAAACCTCCAGTCACAATTCATTCACATCAATGGGAAGATTCAAGTGAATTAAACTTCACTCCATTGCACAAGCAAGTGGCTATCAGGACTCAGTAGCTAAGTGGATAACGCGATGGCGTTTGAAGAGAACGGTACTGAGTTCGAGTCCCAGGGTGAATTTCAACTCTGAGATGCAGGTACATCCCGCTGACGAGTCCCAAACAGGACGAGACGCGCGTCCTGGATTGCATTGCTAGCCACTATCCATCTTTGCTTATAATTCATTTACATTGTTTTAGAATAATAGTATACTGAACTGAAAATCATCTAATTTAGTAAATATGAACAATCTTTTTGAAATGATTTAAATAGTAAATATAACTGAGTGATGATGAATAACAGAACTAAAATTATTTGACTCAACACTTTTAATGATTGAACGTAAAAAAAAAAGGAACAGATCAACTGATTATCCAAAATTAAATATGATTACCAATTAATTTCTAACATAAAACAGTATTCTATTGCTGCAACCATTCACTAAACCATTCGAATAACAGATCTATATCTTACTTACTTACTAACTTACGCCTGTCACTCCTTGTGAAGGAGCATAGGTCGCTCACCAGCATTCTCCATTCAACCCTGTCTAAAGCAATCCCTTCCAACTATTTCCAGTTATTATTCATCCTTTTCATATCTGATTCCATTTCTCAACGTAATGTGTTCTTTGGCTTTCCTCTTTTCCGCTTACCTTCAGGATTCCAAGTTAGGGGCTTGCCTCATGATGTAGTTTGATGAGTTGCGTAATGTATGTCCTATTCATTTCCATCGTCTTTTCCTAATTTCTTCTTCAGCTATCTGTAGATTTCAGAAAGCAAGAATGATTCAATGTTGAATGAAATAATCTTTCGAAAAAATATTCAATCTACTGTCTATCTATTGATACTGACTGATAAGCAAGACTACAATTTATGGACATTTTTTGAACAACGTTACAATGTGCTTGGAAATGTCCACCTACTTACCATGATTAAATGAGGGTTATCGGTTAATATGAGGAACTGGGATTAAGATTGACAGTTGAATGTTAAGATTAAGAGTTAGATCACAAACTGACATAAACTATAATGCCAAAACTCTATTAAGCCAAAGAAATGAATAAATTTCGAGCCTAAATTGAAAACGTGCTATCTTAAATCTGATTGGTTCATTTATAAATTAGAGTTTCACTCATTTCCAAAAAATTATATAATCAGAGATGCGTTTTTTTGGATATTTTAGTAATTTAATACTTGTATTCCTGAGTCATTTTAAGTCAAACCACCATGGAGAACATAAAAAGAGCTAGACGACCGTTTCGTCCTAGTTTGAAACGCATCAGTTGTGTGCATTGACGATCCCGCCTGGCAAGATTCGAACCTAGGAGCAATCAGTCTTGCGCGCGAATGATTAACCTCTAGACCACTGAGCCAACATCCATTAGTGTTAGTATCTCATTTTAACCAATCCACAAAGTTGGGTTCGAATCTCACGAGGCAGTAGCATGGATGCACACTGCTGAATAGTCTTATACACTGAATGTAACCGCCATCTAGCTTCAATTGACTCATGAATTCATCTATTAAATTAATAAGTATATGTTTGGATTTTTCAACAACAAAAAAAAGGAAACTAATTTTAACACAATCTATTATGATCCTTTTTACTAAAACTTCCATTGAAATTACTTCAAATGATTGTGGACGGAATAGAAGAAGCTTTCGTTTAACAAGCTTCCGTGTCTAGTAGCAGGGGTCACGAATAACTTCAGGCAGGAACCTAGGTAGATTAACGATAAAAGAGGAAAAAGAAATTGATAAATCATAGTATGATACTATCCTTAGTGCTTAAGAATAGATCAAGTTGCCTCTTAAAGGACTCCTTGGAAGTCGCTTGGACTAGCTCGGCCGGAAGCGAATTCTAGCATTCGACAACTCTTAAGGAGCAGCAGTTGTGTCTACAGTCCATTCTGCTATGTTGTATCTTAGTTGATTATTCTAAAAAAAAAGAAGAATGATATAGCAACAACCATTTACCTATTTCAACTTGTGCACAAAACATGGAATGATACACATTCATGTCATAAATAACAAATACTTTTTTTTAAAAAACATTGCTGAATTTATTAAAGTAAATTAGAAGTTTTCAAATTCACCATCATTCTGTTGTTCATTTTTACACCAAAAAGTTTTTGTTTTTTTTTTGTATTTTTTTTTGGTTTTTGTATATTTTTTAAGAAAGAAAAAAGGTTTTTGTTCTAAGGTTTTCTTCCTGATTCTGTTTAAGTAATAAACAAAATCACATTTTAACTATTAAAATATAAAAAAATTAAAATAATGAAGAAGAAGAAGGAAAAAAATGAGAAAAGAAAAGAACATAAATGAAATTAACTACCCTATACACTGACGCCATTGTGATCGATTCTGAGTTATGTCACCCACAGTCTCCAACTATTGGTTACGATAGTCATGTGGACCGCAGCCAAGTACTCTCCATCTATCTACATGGCCGCACCCTACCATATATACAAGGAATATCAGAAACCGCGACGAGACTGCTGAAAACCTTCGGAATAGGTGTGGCACACAAACCGACAAAATCACTACAATCAATCTTATGCAAACCAAAAGATGAAAAAACAAAGGAAAACAAATCAAACATCATCTAAAAAATAAATTGTGCCAACTGCGAAAAACACTACATCGGACAAAGCGGACGCCCCCTTCACCTTCCCCTACATGAACATCAATTAGCATTCAAACGGCATGATATCTCTTCACTTATATCAATACACGTGGACAACTGCGGACACTCATTCGATTGGAAAAATGTGGAAATCTTAGACAGAGGAAACTCCAAAAACACCAGAGAATTTTTAGGAGCCTGGCACTCAGGTCAATCATCAATCAACAAGCATATTGAAATCAATCCAGTTTATCAACCAATGAGAAAAATCATGCACAAACATAAGAACAAAAATCAAAACAATGGGAGACACAACCAAAACAAAGAAGTAAACAACGACAAATTTAAGGTCAATAAAAACCAATCAACGTCGAGGTGCACAGAACAAGCTTTGAGACACATATGGAGAAATTCAAACACTTCACTTCTATCTGAAGTTTGTGCTGATGATGTCGTTCAGAAGAACGATGAAAGCTCCACGACCAAACCATCCAGCTCAGAGAACAAAACCCCACCAAAAAAAGTTCTTCCAACCATCTCCAACACTAGTTAGCATTATGCGTCGTGATGATCGATGATCAGGCATACATAACACATGAGCCAACCATCTCAGTTGATGTAGATTCATAACCTCATCAACTGATTTGCCATCATTCCCTAATACCCTGTATCTAACCTCACTATTATTTACCCGGTGATTCCAGAAGATGCGAGCAATATTTCTGAGACATCTGTGATCGAATCCTGACAAATTACGAGTATCGTCTACTCTCAATGGCCATAAAGTAGAACAGAACGAACTGCTGCGCAGTATAGTCATCCTTTTATTGATAGATGGATATCTCGCCTTCGCTATACGTAACGTACGTTGGTAAAAGCCAAACGAACCTTTTGAATTGGTGCTGAGAATTCGTCAGACACCAACCCATTAGGGCTGATCAAACTTCCAAGATAAGTGGAGTTGTCGACGCGTTCGGTTTCAGTGTTGAATTAAATTGGACCATGTAGTGTCAAGATTTTGATTCTTGTTAATTTTTGTAAATGAGTTTTTCTGGGTTGACTTTAGTTGAGAGTTAAGATCTTCTTGAACTTATAGATTGTCTCTGATATAATATGAATAGATTAGAATTATAATTTATTAACAAAAAGAATGAGAAAAATTTAGAATTATTTCTTCTAATGTTCCATGTTTCCATGAGAAGCTAGAGTATACTTACAATTGACTGATCATTGGGTAGTGACCAGTGTCATGTATGTCAAGTCTTTCTTTGTGCTGATTGAATTCTCGATGTAGTCTACTTCGATTAGTGACTACATGTAAACTTGATCGATAGAATTTGATCATTGCTAAGGACGATCTGACAAACATGATGTTGGTCATCGCCCAGTGATAAATTAGTTGTAGATATATCTCAATGCTAAAGAAGGTTAATTACTGCCCGATTAAATGTGACAGTGAGTGACAAGAAGTCGAATCCGCCAGAAAGCATCATTTCTACCACGATTAAAAGTACCTATTGGTGATGAGTGCCCAATAACAGTGTTTTCTGTTGCCTACTACAATATCTAGTTTGTAAATGTAAAGAATTTTTATTGAGTCAAAATATAGCTGTTTGCATAAAATCTCAACCAAACTTAAATTTCAATAGAGAATAATCTTGTGCTTTGTGCCATTGTAATAAGTAAATTGCTCAAAATGATCATACAAACTACATAGAAGAATCGATCAAAATCGAAGGTAGAAAAATATATCAGTGATGTAAAATGTTGATATTAAGTCAATCCACCGTACTGATTACTTGTTTTTCTTTCATGATCAGTAACCCGTTACATAATGCAAAGATCTTCTATCTCAATACATTACCAGTGAATAAACTACAACAATGTGTTAACTCAGATGAGTAGTTTTCTGAAGTTTTACCCATTGGAGGATAGTTATCATTCTGTACCCTGATAAATCAGTTATGTAGATTGGCATAGAACAGCTATAGTTTTGAATTCTTTTTCATATAATTGTGTAGTGAACGAGAACATAAGTGGGGACAACCAAATGTATTTGAATACAAAATCACAGAGCATCTTATTAAAATCTGAGAACAATACAGTAAAATTCCAATCAATAGTCCCGGACTTCATTGTTCTTTCGTCTCTACACCAATTAACCTATGTTCTCGTTCTTTTCCTTCGATCTTCTTAATCTTCTGCCGCCTGACATTTCACTTTTGATTAGTGATACATACTACTTATATCTGTTGACATCAGTAGCACACAACACAATAAGACAATATGGTTCTACATTTCATTTATACATACATTCATTATTGTACTTATATTAAAAGCGATCAAAACAGATGAACATCTTGTTAAATGTTAAAAAAAAATATACTAAAGTATTAACATTTGTAAAATATATGTTGCTCACTATCTAATGAACACATTAATCTCTTTAAAGTTTACTATGAAACCCAGTGTGATTAGTTGAAAGCGTTTTAGTTTATGATATTAGAATGAATTATTTGTTTATTGACTACTCTTTTGATAATTCATAATCAGAAGGGGTTTTTGTGGATAGTATAGTCTAGTTTTAATTGACTCATGATCTCAACTATTAGAAAAATCACCATAATATCTACATAAATCTCTTCTGATACTAATCAACATATGCTCACTAGTAACTGCCTTCAAGAGTCATTTCTTAGAGTTCTAGTGAGAAACTGTGATCAGTGGTATTCAACCGTGTTTGTTGTGAGGGAGTGACTCATTGAAGACAATGGTGGATGTGTCGCTCAATTTCGTGGATTAGTTGAAGTTAGACATTAACACCGTTGGATGCCGACCGGCTCAGTGATTTAGAGGTTGGGCGTTCGCGTGTGAGATCGATAGGTCCAGGGTTCGAATCCTTCGAACGGGATCGTGGATGTGCACTACTGAGGAGTCCCATGATAGGACGAAACGGTGATCCAATGCTTGCAGATTCTCACTGGTTTAGCTTCAAGTGACTCAACTATTGAAATTCATAGAGATTTCAAATTACATAATAATTCTCGTAAATCTTTGTTTTATAGGTTGGTTTTACTTACTTTTATTGAAAATTATATCATGTTTATTATCATCATCATCATTAGTTATCATGTTGACCAGATATTATTTCTTGTTTAACAACGTTGCATGTTTTTGATGGATTTTTGTTCTCTGAGATGGATGGTTTGGTCGTGCAGCTTTCATCGTTCTTCTGAACGACATCATCAGCACAAGCTTCAGATTGATAGACTTCTCAGAGAATAAAACTCCATCAAAATCATCCACCTGAGCTACAAATCTTCTACACCATCTCAATGTTTCATGTGATTATATCACTTTATAATACCAAGACATTTTCATACATTTGAAACTATGAATAAATGAACTACTAATGTAGTTTTTAATTTTTGAGATCAGTGAAAGATTAAAACAGTCATCAAAAAGATCACATAATATTACATAAACTACAAATATATCCATTTTCATATAACAAATCTTATTGAAATGGTAGAGATGATTTGTAAATCAGGTAGATGATTTTGATAGAGTTTTATTCTCTAAACTAGATGGTTTAGTCTTTGAGCTTTTAACCTTTCGAAGAACAAATCATATTTTCCTTAAGTCTTCAACAATATAGATTAATGTACTAGAGTACCTGTTACTTACTCACTTACGCTTCTTACTCCTCGTGAAGGAGCATAGGCCGCTCACCAGCAATCACCATCGAACCCTGTCCTGGACAATCCTTTCCAGCTCCTTCCAGTTGTTGTTTGTCTTTTTCACATCTGCTTCTATTTCTCGACGTATTATGTTCTTTGGCCTTCCACTTTTCCACTTACCTTCAGGATTCCAAGTTAGGGCTTGTCTCGTGATGCAGTTTGAGGATTTGTGTAATGTATGTCCTATCCATTTCCATCGTCTTTTCCTAATTTCTTGATCAGCTGGAAGCTGGTTTGTTCTCTCCCACAGAAGGCTGTTGCTGATGGAATCCGACCAATGGATGTTGAGTATCTTGCGTAGACAACGTTGTTATAAATACTTGTAATATTTATAGTACTTCTACAGTAGAACTGCCTTGACGTTCGTATTGAAGATTCTAACTTTGATATTGGTTAAAAGTTGTTTTGAGTTCCATATGTTGAGTTCTACTCAATTGATTATTCAACACTAGTGTACCTGCAAAGGCATACAAATGAAAACAATAAAGAACGAGATACATGGTTACAATTCTAATCACTTTTAAGATTATTAATGCTTATTATTACGTGTGTTTTTATATACTTTTAACAATACACTCTATATTCATTTTGGGTACAATGTTTTTATGTTAATCTTTTTGTGATTTGTTTTATAGATACAAACAATATTGTTGGTTTAAGTGCGTTATTACATTCTAGATGTCCGGACTTTTCGTCACCAATGTGTAAAGTGAGTTTCATAGATATTCTTAGTTATTGTTCACATAATTCCCAATTTTGAATTGTAGTCATAGAGTTATTTATCGAATAATTAATAACTTATCCTTTAATGTATATATATAGGAGGCAGAAAAACACAGTCAATACAGTCTGTGTGACACCACTAATTACTTACTTACGACTGTTACTCCCAATGGAGTATAGGCCGCCGACCAGCATTCTCCAACCCACTCTGTTCTGAGCCTTCATTTCTGGTTCTATCCAATTGTTGTTCATTATCCTGATGTCTGTCTCCATTTTTCTCGACGTAATGTGTTCGTTCCTCTTCTTAAATATATTTACTAAATATATATTTTAAAAAAAATAATGAACCTATTAGTTCTGTTTAATTACTTGCACAAAACAGTTTGGGGTTCAATAAAAACGTGATAACTACACAAACTACTGTTAATTGCACTAGTAGTATGTTTTAATTATCTAAAATCAAAGCATTTATAATAATGTAAACATTCCTAAAGTTAATGCATAAATATAAAAATACACAAGCTGATTAATGCTAGTGGAGGTTAACTGTTGAATTCATGTTAACACATTAAGTATATAGCCTATTAGTCCCAAATACCATCAGTGTTCTTTTCTTGAATGTTGATATTTTTCACTCGATAATGTGTTACATTATCTAGCTTGTAAAAAATCCATATCTGTATGTCAAAGTAACTTCCAGTTAATATTTTGTGGTTTGACAAATTTTAGTGTTTTGCCTTTTAATATAAGAAACACATTTATTTCGGATCTCTCTCAGCTCTCATCATTCACTGACATGACCCGGATAACTAAATAGAACTAGATAGCTATTTCATCCTGGTATAGAAGACTTATTATCTTTAGATAGTTATTTATCCAAAAGACTATCTGAAAATTAAGAAATATTCAAAATCTCGCATGTTAGTTCAATAAATGTTCTTGCATTTACATTTCAGTTGAAGGAATACATATCTCTTATAAGTTGAACGTTATCATTCTTTGAGGTTTGGTTTGGAGATACTGTGTGTTCTCCAAAACAATGTGAATTTGTTACTATTAAATCATATTGTAATTTTAAGGACAGTTATTTTTCTTGATTTACTGTGTCAGCCATCTACATATACGTTTGGTATTTCCTTGATTGTTCTTGTTTATATTCTGTACACTATATATATATATTGGTACAAAGGGGCACCGAATACATATGTGGCATACAACTCATTCTATTTGTGTTTGGGCTGCAATACTGCCCAGGTGTCCAGACCAAAGCAGATGGTTTTCTTAGGGAGCTACTCCCTGAGCCTTCGACCTAAAGGTCTGATCCACAAAGCAATGGTGCAACGTCAGGAGATTCAGTCTCATAGTAGCCAGTGAATAATAATTGGTTCATACGCCATTTGTCCCTTCAGGATACTATGGCCCATGTGCACCATTGGTTTGGAATCAGGATTTTCCAACTCCTCTAGGTGGACCACCAACCCGGTTAAAGCACCTGACATTCGCTTTTCATCTTCTCAATTTTGTAAACAATACCCCTGCCGCGAGAAGGAAGTGAATAGGACTTCGCTAGTAGTGGCTGTATATACGTAGCCATGTGAGAGCGTTTCGAGATGGTGAGCTGACTCTCCTCACCCTCGACCATTACAAATCATATTATTGAAAACAGTTGAATAATTTGGTTAAAATGTTCATAAAATTTATTTTACTTTGTTTTGTTATTTCAGGTAATTGGAATTTTGAATTCTGCACGTGTTCGCAGTCCATTACCAGTAGCAAAAGATCTACAAAAAGCTATTAATTTAATATGTAGTTCAAATGTATTTGTTGATCAAATAATGAAACCATTAAGTCGAACAAATGATCCTATCACAGCAGATCTAATTGAAGGTTTGATTACTGTAAGTCTAATCATTGATGCTAAATGGTTTCAATCAATTTATTTTTCATAGATCTATCTATGAAATTAGATTAAACTATTTTGTTTTATTATTGATAATTCATGTGAATCAACTTTTGATTACACTCCGTATGAGCAATTCAGTTTGACTTTATAAGAGAGTTATTATCAGAATGGGTTTTGTGGAGATTTTTAGAAATTTCACAAGTTGAAATCATGAGCCAATTGAAGCTAGACCACCATGGAAAACCTGGAAGCACTGGACGGCCGTTTCGTCCTAGTATGGGACTCCTCAGCAGTGCGCATCCACGAACCCTCCCCCCGCGGGATTCGAACCCAGGACCTACTGGTTTCGCGCGCGAGCACTTAACCATTAGACCACGAAGCCAGTAGGTCCTGGGTTCGAATCCCGCGGGGGGAGGGTTCGTGGATGCGCACTGCTGAGGAGTCCCATACTAGGACGAAACGGCCGTCCAGTGCTTCCAGGTTTTCCATGGCGGTCCAGCTTCAATTGGCTCATGATTTCAACTTGTGAAATTTATAAGAGAGTGTTCGGTTTTGTGTGATTATTATTTTAAAGATTGTTTAGCCAAGTTTGACCTACTTCCTACGTTTAATTATTGATCAAGAGTTTGTTATTTCATTATTCTTATCATTAGTTCATTTACCCAATTAATATCAGTTGTATACTTTACCTAATATATGTAGTTAAGGAATTTGTTCATCATGATCATTGACTAAAAAAATTGCCTTGATTAGTTTGATGTTTCCATGTATCTATATTAGTATTCCTGTATATCTGAGTAAAGTATGACGATGATCTAACCAAATACAGTATTGTTCACTTATATATATATGGACCATCTGTTTTTTGAATTTCATATAAATCATGACTCGATCTATGTTAGATCACCATCGAAAACCTGGGATCACTGGACGACTGTATCGTCCTAATGTGGGACTGCTCAGCGATTCCCATCTACCACACCTTATACAAGACTCGAACCCAGGACTTTTGATCTCGCGCACGAACGCATAATCTTTAGATTATTGAGTCTGCATCAAACCGTGTTGACATCTAACTTCAGTCAATTTACGACACTGTGTGACTATCATCTATTGTTTTAGTTAACTGCTTCACACGCTACACAGATTTGCTCCGCTGGTTATGGTTACTTACTGGAACTCCAGGAATTTCCTCTCAAGATTGGTCACTAATGAACACATATTATATATTCGCTTTATAGCTTTTAGTAGCTCGATATCTGACTCCAATTAGATCGTATGAATGATTGTTATTGAAATATACATCCTGGCTTTTCCCGTATATATTTGTCGACTTAACTCGCGTTGATGAATAACGGAATTAAATAAGTTGAATACGATAATGGATTTTTGAATACATGTATTTTGTACGCTAGCTGATCTGGACAGACAATCAAAGGAACGAAGCGAATAGAAGAAAGAGATACGAAATGACGCTCAGTGGAGAAGGCATATGAGCTAACTCGATTTAATCAAGCGTTAATCATTATTTATAGTCACACAAAAATAAGCTGCTGACATGTGATGAGTAGAAGTGTACACATACGTATGCACTCATATAAAAAGTCAGCGTTGATAAGCAAATAATTAACAAGGTCAAAATATGACTCAAACAGAATGAATAGATTGCCCTACCCAGAAGCTTGAATAAGTTATATGGGCTTAACATAGTAACCGACACTACGACCTATTTTCTCTTCATATAATTATGTCAGTTTAGGAGTTGTGGAGATTGTTAAGTTTTTTTGATTGAGATCATGAACCGATCGATGTCAGACCACCATTGAAAAGCCGTGACTAGTGGAACTAATCCGTGTCGGGTAAAAACAGGTGTCTACCTCAGTACAATGAAAGATGGTCGCTCAATTTCGTGGATTGGTTGAGGTTAGACATTAACACCATTGAATGCCGGCTCAGTGGTTCAGTAGGTTGAGCGTTCGCGCGCGAGACTGAAGGCACTGGGTTCGAACCTCACGGGCGGAATGCGCACTGCTGGGGAGTCCCAGACTAGGATGAAATGGCCGTCTAGTGCTTCCAGCTTTTCAATGGTGGTCTAACATCAATCGGTTCATGATCTCAATCATATAATTATGTATTTAAGAATTTCTCCTTTAAAATATATCTTCTATATTTTTTTTTATTTAACTGTATTTTTAATCTGATTCCGGATGCGACTAGTGAATTCTTACGTAATACATCGCTTTGCAGTCATTCTAATATAAGAAAATACTTTTATGTAGCGTATTGTTATGCCAAATTACTCATTATTATTATTACCGTTACTATTATTATTATTATTATTATTATTATTATTATTATTAGTAGTAGTAGTAGTAGTAGTAGTAGTAGTAGTAGTAGTAGTAGTAGTAGTATTAGTAGTATATGATAAAGTGAATGTTTAAACATTATCCCTTTTTATTAATAGGGATCAAACCTAGCTAGAGAACCAGAGAACTTACTCAAACTTCGATCTTTGGCTAAATCTCTAAAAGGTAAGTAATAATACACATTTAATAGTGATATAGCTAAATCACTTTCTCTAAAATATTATATGATACTGATAACTAATCTATGACTTAGTGGTGTAAACAATTTCATCTTGAAGAAGGTCAGTTATAACCCAAATGACAAAATTGATAATGTGTTTTACCTGAGACTAGGTAATATTAGGTTCTATTCATATTTTAATAATAAGTTCTCTTATGAGTATGGATACATCTCATGAATGAGTTCCAATCCCTGAAATCTCATGTCTAGAACGTACTTTCGTTTATCTAACTATTATTACTTGTTTTTTTTTCTTCTATGCCATGAACTTTGGAACAATGAAGAATTCTCAGTAGTAGGGCATCAACAAATTTCTTTCTAATGTATGTTCGAATCGTAATAGTTCAATAGAATATTTCATATGTGTCTCACGTCTATTCTTAATTGAGTAGGTTTTCCATCGTTTTAGCTACTGCATCTTTTTTTTTTCGACCTGTCAATTATTGATTCCATGAATTCCAATGTAATTCACCTTCGTTTATTCAAAGGATAAACATGGGGGAAGGTAATCAACGGCTGCACTGACGAAGTTTAAACTTCCCATTTCGTAACATTGTGATAGGATGTTAGCTTTTAATCAAAGCTTGCGAGTATATACCATAAGCATGAATAATTAATAAGTTGAAAAGAAATCATTGCAATATTAAAACATTTTTAAAACGGATGTCTTAAATGTTTGAGAAAGCTTAAATGTATTTCGATAACAAGTCGTTTAAATCATTGGGAAAACTGAAACTTGGAGATGGTGGAAAAGATTTGTACTGATGATATCGTTCAGAAGAATAATGAAAGGTCCACAATCAAACCATCCAGCTCCGAAAACAAAACTCCATCAAAAACTGAAACGTAATAGACAGAGTTCAATTAGTACTTATTCGCATAGTTAACTCAAATAATTTTATATGTTTTTGATTTTCTTTTTCAGGATCCGAAAATGTTACAACAACACTGTCAACTTTACAAAATAGTCCAGAAATTGAAACTTGCCTATCAAATTTTGATAAATGGGACTTCAACATATTTGATCTTGAACGGTTAACTAATAAAAAGTAAACATTAGAGTATTTTTGTATTTAAAATAATATTATTTACTTACGCCTGTTACGCCTAATGGAGCCTAATGGAAGGCCACCGACCAGCATTATCCAACCCACTCTGTCCTAGGCCTTCTTTTTTAGTTCTATCCAATTGTTGTTCACTTTTCTCATGTCTGTCTTCATTTCTCGACGTAATGTGTTCTTTGGTCTTCCACTTTTTCTTTGGCCTTGAGGATTCCATATGAGGGCTTGACTTGTGACGCAGTTCAGTGCTTTCTTCAGTGTGTGTCCTATCCACTTCCAGCGTTTCTTCCTGATTTCTTCCTCCGCTATAATCTAGTTTATTCTCTCTCATAGTAAGTGGTTGTTGATAGTGTCCGGTCCACGGATCCGAAGTATTTTAAGTAGACAACTTTTAATAAACACTTGTATCTTTTGGATGATAGCTTTCGTAATTCTCCAAGTTACCGCCTCATACAGTAGAAGTGTCTTGATATTTGTGTTGAAAATTCTGAGTTTGGTGTTGGCTTACTGATAGTTGTTCTGAGTTCCTGATGCTCTTCAGTTTCAAATATACTGATCTTGCTTTACCGATCCGCGCTTCTACATCTGCATCAGATCCACTATATTCACCAATGATGCTGCCCAAATATGTAAAGATTTTTACATCTTCCAAATCTTCTCCGTCGATTGTGATTGGATTGATGCATTCTGTGTTGTATCGGAGAATCCTGCTTTTCCCCTTGTCTATATTGAGACCTACTGCTGCTACTACACTGGTCGTCTTTTTCTGCATTTGTTGTTGCGTTTGCGATAGAAGAGCCAGATCATCAGCGAAGTCTAGATCGTCCAGCTGCATCCCAGATGTCTACTTCATCCCATGCTTCCCCTTAGATGCTGACGTCTTCATGATCCAGTCGACCACCAGAAGAAAGAGAAAGAGTGGGATTAAACAACCTTACCTGACACTGGTCTTCACTTTGAACGAGTCTGTGACCTGTCTTCCATGCACGATTTTGCTGTTTAATCCATCATAGGGATTCTGTATGATATTGACTATCTTCTGAGGCAGGCCGTAGTATCGAAGAAGTTTCCATAGTGTTGTTCTGTCCACATCAAATGCTTCTTCGTAGTCAATATTATATAAAGAATTATATTTGTTTGTATAGTTGCAAAATTAGCCATGAGGAAGATCAGTTCTTTCAAGATTATGAATATACTTTGTTAATTGAGTGTCTGAAACTATTAAATATTCATATAGTTTAACTGAAGGGTTAAGTTGAAAAACTATACTTATATACTATTGAAGCATTCACCATAGAAAATGAAATCAATTCATCTTTAATTGAATATTCAAATTCCCTTTGTCTTTGTCTAAAGTCTGTACACAATCAAATAGAGGGAAATGTGTTTTGAATATCGGTGTTGCAAAACATGGGATTCTGATTATCTGAACATTCTGGTTAAAGTTCGTGGAAAATGTTTAGTAATGGTTTGTTCTCATTGACTTGTATAGATACGTCGTTCAAATGACTCAACATATTGAGTCACATAACTATGATATTACTGTACTTCCCGTTTTTGACTTCTTCACTGATTGTGTTAGTGTGACATATAAAGTAAAGTTTATTTAAATCAACTCACGCGCTGGTCGTAACCAACCGACGATTCTTATTCATACAACATAAAAGAATACAATTATAAGCAGAGATGAATGGTGACTAGCAGTGGACTTTAGATTGCGCGTTTCGTTCTATTCGAAACTTGTTAGTTGGATATACCTGCATCCCAGGGTTAACATTTATTCTAGGATTTAAGAAAATCCTCACAGGATTCACATATTCTAACAAGACACTGATCAATTACAGTCCTAAACATCAATATGAAGATTCAAACAACCAATAGAAAAATGTAAAACGATACAAGTTGACTTTATATGAGCTCAACTTTACTATTTCATCGGCAACCTAATCGTTTCTAAAAATAGATCCGTTTATTGTATATCTTTTCTTCTTCTTCTTCAGACCTCTCACTTATTTAGGTATGAAGATATTGGACAGTTTTAATGCTCTTAGTGTACTACGTGTACCTAGTCAAATTTTAGTCGGTTGGTTAACAGTAATTGAAGAACATTATCATGTGGATAATCCATACCATAATGCTACACATGCAGGTGATGTTCTACAAGCATCAGCTTACTTTCTACAACATAGTTTAATAAGAGTAAGTTTACCAGTCTAATATTAAAATGAAAAGACTAAGAGTCATATGACTTCAATGTGAACTTTTCGTTACGTTTTTAGTGGCCTGAGATCTGACTCCAATTAGATTGTATGAATGATTGTTATTGAAATATACATCCTGGCTATCCTTGTATAGAATTGTTGAATTAACTCGCGTTACTGAATAATGGAATTAAATAAGTTGAATACGAGAATGGATCTCGGATATGTATATTTTGTACGATCATTGATCCGGGCGGATAGTCAGAAGAACAAAGCGAAATGACTCACGGTAGAGAACGTGCATGAGCCAACACCGTTTAATGAAGCGTTAATTATCACTTATAGTCACACAAAAATAAGTTACAGATATGTGATGAATGGAATAAGATGTACATGGACATACGCTCATATAAAAGCAGTCAGGGTGGATAAGTAAATAATGAAGAAGTCTAAAACGTGACTCAAGAAGAATGGATAAATTGGCCTGTCCAGAAGCTAGAATACGTTGTACTGGCTTAACATAGTAACTGACAGTACAAGTTTCTTGTACTTGAAACTGTATCCGCATAATATGTTATCAATAATGAGAGTTGTTTTGTTGCTAATATTTTGGAAGTATTGAGTCATTTGATTTGAAACCTACGTTGTCATACAGTCAAACATTTCGAAAAGAGGGATGGCTTTACTTCACCATTTCATGTGCACTAGATCTTTCATAAATATCTTTTCAGATAACAAAGATTTTGTACATGCCATTAACTACGAAATTTCAATGAACTTCAGTGAACTAATCAATATTTAGGAAGGAGAGACTGTATTGTTTCAACATTATTTGACATTTTTGGATTTATAAAAAAAACTAACTATGGTACAAACCTAGCGAGATGTTGATATTCCCTTATACTGCTTCGTTTCTAATTCCCATAACGATTGGAACTTTAAAACAACATAGATATAAGCGGTCCTCATCAGGATTTACTCGAATATACAGTAATATTTATATGCATATATGAAATTATTAAACTAATCCAGGTGTAGCTACATGTGAATCGACGAATTCAGCTGCTCCTTTGGAGAAAGTAATATTGGGCGCACTACCAGGCTACTGAATCAAAGAGTTAGTGAACACCTCCCTTCATGGTTAGGAATAGGTAATTTCAAGACAATACGTAGCTCGGTTCTATCACACTTGATCGATAGCGGTCATTTAGTGGACAGAAAAAAGTCATTTAAAGTTAGTTATCGTATTCATAATAGGTTTCCTAATGGTGTTCGATCTCGTCTCTTACACATAGGAAAAGCTATAAGAATTCGAGCTAACAATCCAAGTCTTTGTTTTCATAAGGAATTTATGAAAAGAAAACTGTTTCCAGTACATAATCAAGTTAAAGATCATTTTAATGTGAGCAACAATATATGAAGATTCAATGTATATAACCCAGTGGTAATTTATTAGTTTGGATGAAAATATGATAACTGAACATTTTGTCGTCAATATCAACTGTTTTAATACAAGTATCCAGTTTAATAACCGGAATATATAATCCTGTAAACACTAGACAGCTGTATTCCTTATCTTATAGGGCTTTGCAGCATTGCACACCTACAACTTTATACAAGATGAAATAAAGGACATCAAGAGCTCCAATGGTTGACATTTTAAATATTAGTTGATTTCATTGGTAGAAACCATCAGTCAGTTGAAGCTAGACCAACATGGAAAACCTGGAAGCCCTGAACGGCCGTTTCGTCCCAGCATAGGACTCCTCAGCAGCGCGCACCCACGATCCCGCCTCTCAAGATTCGAACTCATGATCTATCAGTCTAGCGCGCAAACACTTAACCAATAGACCACTCAGTCCTCCGGTATCCCAAAGTATTAATGTCTAACTTTAAATAATCCACGAAATTGAGCAACACATACACCGTTGTTTCAAGTGATTTACTATCTTATAACAGGCCCAGTTGAACTCCACTAATCACTGCTTCTCACTAGAACTTCAGGAAATACCTCTTCAAACCAGTCACTAGTGAGCATATGTTCATTTGCTGGTCAAGTTGATACATAAATCATGAAACTGAATAATATTCACAAAGCCATAGTGGTTAAGTAATTGCATGTTCACTGTAGTCTGATTCCGTGAGATAAGTCTTGGAATTCTAGCATAAAACCCTGGTAGGTGAAGTTTAACCAAGTCGAGTGTGAGGCAGTTACCCATTAGTGTAATTACAATATGAAGTCAAAATATCTCGAATTGACTAAATTTATAGTTGTAAAACAATGGATGTTAGCTCAGTGTTCAAAATGTTAAGCGTTAACCACGTAATTTAAATGTCAGTCGATAATCGCACTGTTGAGGAGGAGTTTTACCTTTAAAGTCTCTCAATGTGACATTAATGATTGTTGTTCAGGCGTTCGCTATTTGGACTTAACTTCATCAAGAATGGTTTTAGTGCAATTCTTTGAATAATTAGTTGGTACTATCAACTATCTGACACAACAAAAGAATATGATTTAAAGTGATTGCTAATAAAAATCTACTTATAAGACTTCCCTTTTCATAGACATTCTTAAATAACTATCTGTGTTCTTGTTGCTTATTATTTATTTCCAGTCAATTTGCACAAATATTGATGAAGTTGCTACACTTTTAGCCGCGATAGTACATGATGTAGACCACCCGGGGAAAACAAATCCATTTCTTGTGAATAGTAATGATCCATTAGCTATTCTATACAATGATATGTAAGCGCTGAAGTGAAATTTACTGTGTAACTTATTTATTATCGTTTGATTATGAAATGATTTGACCTATGTTTGATTAATGTTTGATGAACATTGGTTGAATATCATTAAGAATATCTATGGATCTGTCCTTTCAGTTAATCTAGAAATTGACTAAATGATATATTCAACCTTAGTTATGTAGTTTAAGTAAGCTGTAATTTAAAGCCTACTTTACTTCTCCAGATTTCGATAGCTGGACAAGATCACATAACACATGTTATTCAAAATTAATAAATAATGGCCAAGGTGGATGTGAATGATTTCTAATAGAATTCGACTTTTTCAAGTTGGATATGTCAGTTGGACATGCCTGGAACCTAGAGTTAGTGTTCACACCCAACTGATGAGTTTCAAATGGGACGAAGCCCATATCCTAGATCCAAGAGCCAGCCACTATACATCCGTGCTTATATTCGTCTTTCTGTTTTTTTGGTACAATTTTATAAAGCAATAAGTAGGCTTTCTTAAACATGTATTCTAATGCTTATTTAGTGAATCTAAAATGTTAAGCTGGAATTATTCAGTCGTTATATTTGTATTCTTTTTTGTTTTTTTTTATTCAAGTGCTGTATTAGAAAGTCATCATGCGGCTGTTTCATTTGAATTAACCCTCCGATCACCTGACATCAATATTTTTCAGAATTTGACACGGTAGGTGACGTCTTTAAAAATATTGGGGTGTATTTCATACACTCATATTTTCTATAAGTTGATCATTCATGCATCAAACTCACCGTTCCAATGAACGTTAGGAAGATCGCATTCTACCTTACAAAATATTCTTATGTAGTCGTACACTTATGAGAAATTCTACTTACTCCCTTCATGTGGAAGAGGTATTTCCGCAACATCAAGAGTATTAAAGAAAACGCCGCAGCATCAAACTGAGTCGGTGGATGGCAAGTGTCCACTCACGGTAATTGTTATGCGGTAATTCCAAATTAGAGGTGGATACAGCACAAAAATAGTAGAGGAATAATTACCAATTCAATCTATTTTGACAGTAAAAAAAGCTCACTTATTCAACATTTTACTTTGACTACAGAATAAAGTTCTCCGTTTAAAACAATATCATGAAAAATTCCTGTTGCTTATGCAGTTATTTTGTGAACATTGACTTATATGTATAATCAGAATCAATGACCTACTCTAGACGAACCACCCAATCAATATGAAAACTGATCCAAACCTTAACGCTTATTAGTTCACGAACACTTCCAATCCCAGTGTCCAATCATAGGACAAAGTTAACAAGCAGATCTCTAATATTATCCTTCTATGTCTTACATCTTAAACACTCGCAAGAGTGATATACATTAACTATCAGACCATACCACACCATAAACCAGAAATCATAGTTTGTACATAACTAAGTCACTATTAACACAAAACTGAGCAATTGTTTCGTAATTAATTAAAAATAACTAAGGGAAGATGAAACATATAACAACAGTTCATGATCACTGGCTAGGATGATAATTACTACATGACAGATGGAGTAGGTTTGAGTGTCCGACCAACATCACATCATTTGTAATAATCAAGTCAATCCTAATGACAGAAGTTCCAAAATGTTACGAAAATGTTTGTAAAGTATCATTCATAAGTACATGATCTGTTGATGTATCATATAGGCAGATACTTACTTACTTACTTACGCCTGTTATTCCTCACGAAGGAGCATAATACGCTCACCAGCATTCTCCATTCAACCCTGTCCCGGGCAATCCTTTCCAGCTCCTTTCAGTTGTTATTCATCGTTTTCATATCTGCTTCTATTTCCCGATGTAATGTGTTCTTTGGCCTACCTCTTTTCCGCTTCCCTTCAGGATGCAGTTTGATGATTTGCGTTATGTATGTCCTATCCATTTCCTTCTTCTTTTGCTATGTTCCTCTTCAATTGGAAGCTGGTTTGTTCTCTCCCAGAGAAGACTGTTACTGATTGTATCCGGCCAATGGATGTTGAGTATCTTGCGTAGACAATTTGTACAGTAGAACTGCCTCGACGTTGGTATTGAAGATTCTCACTTTGATATCGGTTGAAAGTTGTTTTGAGTTCACATAAACAGATAGATTATGATAACTGTTAACTTACTTAATCTATACGATATATAAATCCCTACACTATCATATCACCCATATAGAAGATCTATTTTATTCACCTTGTAATAGACGCTTCTTAAGAAGTTTCTACTTAAGAAAGGTTATGTATAATTCTTATTTAGCTGAATGGATTATATAATCCATAAAGTGATGAATGATTTCACTAAGTCATTTTAAGTGAAAATCATTTATTCTTCGATAGGATTGTGTAATTTTCACACACATAACTCATCACATCTGATGGCTTTATAAGTGAATATTCTCGATAATAAACAAAATAGGATCAGAACCTTTTTTTAGTGTGCTATTGGTTTTTAATTTTTCTTTCATCAACTGATATTTATCCTAGTAAAAGACTCCTCAGGAGTGTTCATGCACGATCCCATCTCGCGAGATTCTAACTCAGGACCTGTCAGTCTTCAGGTTTTCTATGATGGTCTAAATTTAATTGATTCATGAATTCAATTATTAAATTACTAAAATCTCTTCATAAAAAACCCCTCTGATATCCATCCAGTGACAGAATCCATCATTATGAGTTTTGTTGTTAGTTATTATTATTATTATTATTATTAAAACGAAGAACAGCAATCCAATCACTCTTGATGGCGAAACTCTAGAAGATGTAGAATCCTTCGTATACTTGGGAAGCATCATCGATGAACAAGGAGGATCAGATGCAGACGTAAAGTCAAGGATTGGCAAAGCAAGCGTCACATTCCTACAATTGAAGAACATATGGAACTCAAAGCAACTTTTAACTAATATCAAAGTGAGAATCTTCAATACGAACGTCAAGGCAGTTCTACTGTATGGAGCTGAAACTTGGAGAACTACAACAACCACAATCAAGAAAGTACAAGTATTTGTAAATAACTGTCTACGCAAGATACTCAACATCCACTGGCCGGATACCATCAGCAATAGCCTTCTGTGGGAGAGAACAAACCAACTTCCAGCTGAAGAAGTAATTAGGAAAAGACGATGTAAATGGATAGGACATACATTTCGCAAATCATTAAACTGCATCACGAGGCAAGCCCTTACTTGGAATCCTGAAGGTAAGCGGAAAAGAGGAAGGCCAAAGAACACATTATGTTGGGAAATAGAAGCAGATATGAAAACGATGAATAAGAACTGGAAGGAGCTGGAAAGGATTGCCCGGGACAGGGTTGAATGGAGAATGCTGATGAGCGGCTTATGCTCCTTCGTGAGGAGTAACAGACGTAAGTAAGTAAGTATTATTATTGTTATGATTAGTGTTTCATTTGGATGAGTATGTTTGTTTTTTAATCTTCATTCATTATACAGTGAAGAATATCGTACAATACGTAGCTATATTGTTGATATGGTATTATCTACTGAAATGGTACGACATTTTGATATTGTTACAAAATTTGTAAACACATTAAGTAAACCAATGCTTGCAAAGAATCGTGTAAGTGATTATTATCTATATAATATTGTTTTTGGATGATAATTCATTTTGAAGATAAACTTCAAGTTTTCATTTTTCTAATGATATAATAATTGAATTCATGAGTCAATTGAATTTAGATTTCAAAACCCGTCTCTGATTATAATCATTATATATTCACTAGTGACTGTCTCCAAGAGTTATTTCCTGGAGTTCTAGTGAGAAGCAGTGATTAGTGGAGTTCAACTGGGTCTATTATAAGATAGTAATTCACTTAAAACAACGGTGTATGTGTTGCTCAGTTTCGTGAATTAGTTGAAGTTGAACATTAATGCGGTTGTATGCCGGAGGACTGAGTGGTCTATTGGTTAAGTGTTTGTGCGCTACACTGATAGATCATGGGTTCGAATCTCACGAGGCGGGATCGTGGATGCGTACTGTTGAGGAGTCTCATACTAGGATATGACGGCCGTCGAATGCTTGAAAGGTTTTCTATGATGGTCTAGTTTCAATTGACTCATGAATCCAACTATTAAATTACTATAATTTCCACAAAACCCCTCTCTCCTAATTATTATTCATTAAGTCAGTTTAAATGAATTATACTCCTTGATTGTATTCGGATTAGTTGAAATTTAAACCCATATAATTGATCAAGGGGTTATTAATTTTTCTTAGAGGTTGTTCTCTTACATCAGGTTAATTATCCCAATCATTAATTTTGAAACTAATCAATAGTGAAGGTATTGCATTACATGGTTGATTCTATGAACAAATCAACATTAAAAACAGATTGTCTTATATTCACTTGGTATTCTTTACTTGAATCTTCCCATTGATGTTTAAAACTGCAGTCGATTAGTTTCTTTTTGGCATATTTGCATCCTATGCGGATTGCCTGGATATTGCCTTAATTCACAAGCATTATTAACAAAGATGGAAGGTGGCTTGCAGTGGAATCCATGACCCGCGTTTTTTCTTATTTGAGACTCGTCAGCTGAATGTACCTGCATCATAGAGTTTATGTTCACTCTGGGACTCGAACCCAGTACCGTTCGCTTCAAACGCTATAGCGTTATCCACCTAACTACTGAGTCATGGGGTGAAGTTTACGGCTGCAATTGATCAGTCTCTTATTGGTATATGTGTATCCTGTGTTCATTTCTTTGATATTGCCTTAATTTACATGCATTCTAAGCAAAGATGGGTTTGAGTCCCAAAGTGAACATCAACTCTGAGATGCAGTAACATCCAAATGACGAGTCCCAAATCGGATGAAATGTGCGTCCAGTATTCCACTGATAGCCGCTGTCCATCTTTGCTTAGAAGTTTGCCTTATAGCCTAAATGTGAGTTCAGTTTATCATAAGTAATTTTCAAATCAGTACTCTTTTTGATCATTATTATTATAAAGATAAAGAGTGATCATAAGAATAGCAAGTAAACGTTTTTTTTAAAAATATATATAGAAATATGATGACAACCGTCACAATAGTCAGTCTTAAATGTAGAATACGTTACATTGATATACTTAGACCGTGATTATATTACATCTGAGTGATACTGTAGTGAACAGAACACAAGTGGGGACAATCGAATGTATCTAACACAAAACTACAGGACCTGTTAATAAAATCTAACAATCATATAGTAAATGCTTAATTTGATAAATGTCCATCAATTGTCTTAAAATGAATCAGACTTCATTGTTCATGCATTTTCGTACAAATTGCATTATGTTTCTATTCGTTACTGTTCGATCCTCTTGTCTCTCTGCTGCCAGACCTTCTGTTCTTGACTAATATCATATACTACTTATGTCAATATAAGTAGCACACACCACAATACCATTAAATCAGAATTGATCAACTGACGTAGTACTACAGAGCATCTTACATTTCTACTTCATTAATGTATTTTAACTCAATGTTATCTTTCTTCAAACTCATTCTGTAACATAAATATGTATGTCTGGTCTAAATAATGTACTGATCGCAGAACATTTTATTATTATTTTTTCAATATAGCACCATGATCGTTCATCTGTCGGTAGTATGAGTTCTATGGAATCATGTTCTATGGGAATGACAATATCACATTCTACTTCACCAAGTCCTGGACAAGAACGTATATCTAGTACACTAGAAAACTTATCAACTGCCGAAAATAGAACATTAATTAAACGTTTAATTATTAAATGTTCCGATGTTAATAATCCTACAAGACCATTATCTATATGTAAAGAATGGGCAACAAGAATAGCGGAAGAATACTTTTGTCAAGTAAGTAAATTTTTTAAACTGAAATTTGTTTTCATTCACTTGATGTTATTTTACCTGTACGTTCCCACCAGTCTCATGTTAGTATATGTGCATCCTGTGCGTATTGTCTCGATATAGCCTTAAGTCACAAGCTTTTTAAGCACCCCATTTCATAAGCAGGTGGCTATCAGCACTCAGTAGCTAAGTGGATAACGCGATGGTGTTTGAAACGAACGGTACTGGGTTCGAGTCACGGAGTGAACATCAACTCTGTGATGCAGGTACATTCAGCTGACGAGTCCCAAATAGGTCGAAACGCTCGTTGTGGATTCCACTGCAAGCCACCATCCATCTTTGCTGAACTTTGTTTCCTTTTTGTCTACTAAACAAAAATTTATATCATGATTTCTTCCACGGTTCAACTATTAAGACAGGTGAATAGACGTTTGAATTCATACCGGTCATTTAGTATCTCACAGTATTATAAGTTTCATTGAAAAAAATAATTTATCGAACTATTTAGGTCTTTAATCGTTTATTCAATAACAATGTGGAAACCTATAACACAAAGTTGTTATGACTTTATGTCCGGCTTTTTATCACGTGATTTATCCACCAATCAAAATACGACTTATACAATCTTAGCACTGTGCCAGAACCAATGAGGTTCGACCGGTATGGGCAGCCTAACGTCCTTATTGGCCGTATGTTTGCCTAGCCCGTCCACTTGAATCCAGAACAACAATACCAGCTTCCACTATGCGAATCGAATCGAATCGTTCATTTCAGACATACTGCGTTTATATATCAAACAAATAGACCACAATGCACCATAAAATAGGAAATAACATTTGTACGCAATAAAGCCAAAAGGTGACTGTGAAGATGGGAGGCAGTAGCCAATAAACTGAACATAGCTTATGAACATTAATAAATAATAGATCAAAATAAAGCTCATGATAAGAGGAATATGAGTATACATAATCTACTTGTTGAATAATTATACCACAGGAATGTATGGATAATATTAGTCAATTAATCTATGTCTCAGCAGAAGTTACTCGTGATTTAATCTTCACTCGGATATAACAAAAGTAATAGCTATTTTCTATATGTTCTTTTTAAAAAGAACTAAAACATACTGAATGAAAAATCGTTTCTATCAAGAAATTCATGTCCCTTGTAGAACCATCCAAAACTAAAGGTCAACTGAACATCAATTTCATTTAAGTACATATCTCTTCACCAGTGTATATGGATTACATTATGATGAAATCAATGTAGCAAGTTTAGATTTCATCTGATAAGTTGATTAATCAAATAAGGTTAAACGTAAATGAACAATTACAATAGTTGAGATCATAAGTCAATTGAAGCTAGACCACTATGGAAAAGCTGAAAGCACTGGCCGGCCGTTTTTTTCCCATTGTAGGCAAGTTATATATTTGAAGTTCAATGAATTTACGATGAAACAAGATACATCATTCTACGACACCGATGTTTAACATTAAAATCACAACGTCCGTTATTTTTTATTATTTATTCTTACTTTTGATAACTGTTAGGATGTGCAGAATAATATACCAATCATTATCATGTTAAGTCTAATGTTGTCCTGGGACGTTAAATGAACATTCCCCATTGGTCGATATTTGTTCACTTGTTAAATATTGTACAAAATGTTGTGTCCTATTTTATGGTACGATGTGGTTTGTTTGGTTGGTATATAAACAGAGTATGTTTGAAATATAACGATTCATAACTCAGAGACTGAGACTTGTGTTCTGGACTCAACTGGCTAGGATAGACAGTGAAGCAGGGTCAATCAGAACCCTAGGCCGTTCTTACGCGTTTTCCGTGTCACTGAAATCGATCGATAATACGCTGCGCATTAAATCTGCAGTCACCCGTTACAACAATAACTCCTAGTTTCGGTGCTATCCATAATCTATTTTTATCAAATAAATCCATTTACTTTGCATAGATCCCCAATGCTTGTATCTTAGTAACGATACAGTCTTAGATTTGATGATTTTTATGATATTACTGGTTTACCTAAACGGTTACATTAATCAATGCTTTCTTAAACTGTGATTATATGCATGTTCGATGAAATGTGTTTAACGAGTAAATATCAAAGATACGTTTTCCAAAATGTATAAGCAGCATTTTCTTATTCTATCCATTTAACTATTTTAAAATTTAGACAGAAGAAGAGAAACGACGCAATTTGCCTATTGTTATGCCAAATTTTGATCGACAAACTTGTAATATTTCTCAATCACAGTTATCATTTATTGATTTCTTTTTAAAAGGAATGTTTTCAGGATTTGACTGTAAGTCAGTTACATATTATGGTAAAAATATATTTTAAAATTAGTCCCATTAGTTCAATGTATGAATAGGTAATTAAGAAGTTATTAAATTGTGCAACAGTAAAGATTGTGTTTTTTTTTTAAAATGAAACTCCAGTTGGCACCCCCTGTGTTGTTTGGATAACCAATGAGAGTTTAGATGGTCCGACGTTAAAGGAAATGTTAGGATGTGCAGACAAATATACCAATAATTATCATGTTAAGTATAATGGTGGCCCTGGACTCTAAATATACACCCCCTATTGGTCGATATTTATTTCACTTGTTGAATATTGTGTAAATGTTGTTTTCTATTTTATGGTACGATGTGGTCTGGTTGATTGGTATATAAATAGAGTATGTCTGAAATATAATGATTCATATCTCAGACGCTAAGACTTGCGTTCTGGACTCAACTGGCTGCTCTATACAGCGAAGTAGGGCCAATCGGGACTCTAGGTCGTTCATTTCGTGTTTACGTGTCATTGATTCGATCGATAAATACGCTGGGCATCTAATCTGCAATCCACAAGACACAACAGGAAATAAGCATGAAGACTTAAAGCACAGTTTCTTCCTAAGTGATACTTGTCAGAATAGTCCATCTGCAGTTTTGAGGGATTGAATATTTAGTGAATGAGAACACAAACGGGAACAATCGAACGTATTTGAATACAAAATTACAGAACATTTTAATAAAATCTGAGAACGATACAAGAAATACTTGATTAACAAAATGTCAGTTAATTGTCTCATACTTCATTGTTCTTTCGTTTCTCGTTCTCTTTCCTTCGATCTTGATCTTCTGCCGCCTGACATTTCACTTTCGATTGATGATATATACTACTGATATCAGTCGATATCAGTAGCATAAACGTACCTCATAAAATTGAGATTCATGTCACACATAGTCACAGTCAGACTGGTTACTACTGAGTTGGTTGAGTTAAGAGGATCTTGGTTTTTTATTACTGTTGGCAAAATTAGAAGCTCATAAAGATCTTTGGAATAAAAATCTCAGTAAAGAAAACGTTTGTCCCGACTAAATGTACATATTTTTGATCCAAGAGAAACTTTATAACACTGTTGTTTTTGACAAGTCATAATGGAAAGTACTTTCTAACTTATTGAGAAATATTCTTTAATGAACAGCTAATTACTTAGCTTAATTATATACATGCAATTAATAAGTCACAGTATGTCGTTGCTTACTCATATATGCACTAATGATTAGCTAGTGCATGGTACTCATAGTAAGGTTGTATAAAATGCTATCTTCAATGATGTTGCCAACTGATTCTTCAGGAAATCGTCCATGATGTTACCCATGAATTTCAAATCAATGTATATTTAGTAAATAGAAGTATTTCGTTCCAATCAGTTTTTCGTCATACACATATATATGATTTACAACAACAAGATAACACTAACAGAGTAGAAGTGTTTCAAAAAAAGAGGCATATATAGAAGATCAGTGACCAGCTATTATACTCATTTTCACATCTCAGTACCAATCAAATATGAATAAAATTGACAAAAGTCATAACCAGTCGTGCAACAGTGATTTGCACCGATGGCATTATCGAAGATTAATTCAGGAGTATCTGTAGCCTTTTAAATAAAACTAATTTTCCTACTAAATTCGTTGCACAAAAGTGATTAAAATCACATCGATGATAACAATCTTTCAGAAGAAGTTAATTTTCTTGAAGTTCTAGTTTATAAATGATGCTACCAGATAGATACTAATACAGAGATCAAGAAAAGCTTAACAGAAAACATTCCCTACAGCCGATACAATTGCTCGAATAGTGAAAACCAATAACAAAGACAGACTTTCAGAATTCGTCACACTCATGAGTATCTATCAACCAGTTACATTAGAGGTATATTTCGACAAATAGATAATCTTTATGTCGAACATCATTCAACCTAGTTGAGCAAAGCATAATTAAGGATGATTCTGAGTTTTATACTCGATAACTTGGTGGACAACAGATATCAGGTTGACTTAAACAAAGGTTTTGAGATTATTTATTGTATGACATGAAATTCACTACCTGAATTAAGAGTTTGTCTTTTCGCTATCACTGAAGGTATCAGAACCCAGTTTTTCAACCTAAAAAAAGTTTGGTTAAACCCTCTCAGACTTGGCCATCACTGTAGGAGCGGGTTTTTAGTGGGTCCATTTATTTAGACATCAATTAGATCCGACAATGTTGTTTACGGTTTCATCACTTTAGTGGCCAGAGATCTGACTCCGATTAGATCGGGTGAATGATTGTTATCAAACTATACATACTGACTATTCTCGTATGTCTTTATCGACTTAACTCGCGTTGGTGCATAACGGAATTAAATAAGTTGAATAAGAAAATGGATTTTTGAATACACATATTTTGTACGCTATCTGATCTGGACAGACAATCTGACTAACAAAGCGAAATGACGCTCAATGAAAACTGCATGTGAGCTAACTCCATTTAATGAAGCGTTAATTATCACTTATAGTCACACAAAAATACGTTACAGATATGTGATGAATTGAATAAGATGTACATGCACATGCACTCATACAAAAATAGTCAGGGTGGATAAGTAAATAATGAAGAAGTCTAAAACGTAACTCAAGAAGAATGGATAAATTGGCCTGTCCAGAAGCTAGAATAAGTTGTATTGGCTTAACATAGTAATCGACACTACAGGTTAGAAACGAACAAAACCCAAGTTCCTCAGTTTGATTCCTTGTTATAAGGTTCTAAATAGGCACCTCTGTGGAGTCTAAAACCAAGATGAAATGACTATTTATTGCTTACAGATTATCGATAGTCTAACTTAAATCCCAAAATCTACATACTGATAATTATTATAATATAAATTTCAATTGTTGAGGTCATAAGTCAATTGAAGTTAGATCATCATGGAAAACCTTGAAGCACTAAAATGGCCGTTTCGTCCTATTTTGGGTTTCCTCAGCATTACACATCCACGATCCCGTCTTGCGAGATTCCAACCCAGGACCTATCAGTCTCGCGCTCGAGCACTTAACTTGTTAAGAAACTAATTTGAGCTTAACTAATTTATAATACCATCATGACACATTTTAATTTTTCCATTTTGTGTTTTCTTTTCATATCCTATTAGGTGTTTTTCCAATCCCTGAACTAATGAGTAATCTAGAAAGTAATACAGCTTATTGGGCCAATAATATTGAAAAAGAGAAAAAAACACATGTAACTTATCAAACAGAAACAAAATCAATATCTGTTCACCAGGATTAAACTTTATTTTATTTTATTTTTTTGTTTGTTTTCGGTTTTATATTTATTTTTCAATACTTCACATTTATTTGTTCCTTTGTTACCAGGTTAGAAATAAATTAATGTAAGCATATTAAATATACATATTAGGTCATACACACATACATAGATATGCATGTATGCATATACATCAAATCTATCTATCTATCTATCTATCTATCTATCTATATCTATCCTATTCTATCCTTTCCTGTCCTATCCTACTCTATCCTATCCTATCCTGTCCTGTCCTATCCTATCTATCAATCAATCAGTCAATCAATTAATGAATCTATGTATCTATCACATTGATGTAGAAGAAAGAATAATCTAACAGAATCATATCGGTTGTTTACTCATCCACTATTAGTATTGTTGTGGTTATTGTTTTTAATTGGATTCAATTAGTCAGTTCCAACTGAATACTCATTCATTAGTTAATTCTGTACAAACTATACACAGTGCACTTGAAAACGAAGAAAAACAAACAAACAAACAAACAAAATGGAAAATAAACAAAACAGTCTAGAATTTCTGTTGAAAATTCTTCTGAGTAATTTTTTTTCTAAAAATTGTTCATTCTTTTTTCTTTTCTTTTTTTCTTTTCTTTTTTTCTTGTTTTTTCTCTTTTTTTCGGTTTTGTATGATAAATATTTGTTCAGTTGTTAAATTCTTTGAAATCGTTCAATAGAATCATCATCTAATTCTAGATCCATCTTCATGATATTCATATTGATATTGTCACTTGTCATTCTATTCATTTTTAATGATGTTTTTTTTGTTTTCTCTTTTTTTTAATAAGATGCCAAATTATGTTGATAGAGAAGTTTTTGGTTGTTGTACAAGTATGCTTATAATTACATAATGACATCATAACTATCACTACTACTACCACTTCTACTACCACTACTACTACTACTACTACCACTATCACTGCCGCTACTACTATTATTACTACTAGTACTACTACTACTATTACTCTTATAAGTAGTAGTATTATTCCTTATAAATAATTTTATTTATTCAAATAAACCATTTTAACTCATTCATATTATTAAACAATTCAATGAATATTCTTCATTTATGTCTTACGATTCATTATTAATCATAGAGATTAATATAAGTAGTATATTTTTTAAAACTTGATCAATATTTTATTTCATTTCATTGTTTGTTTGTTTGTTTTCTACCATGTAAAAACAATCAAATTTTACTTTAATCTTTCTATTCTATATTACTAATTGTCTACCTCGTGTAGAATCATGTTTGATTGTGTTATTATATTGATTTATGACACTTTTATTGATCCATTACGTACTTATTTAAGCCTATTCCTCTCGATGGAGCATAGGCTATCGACTAGCATTCACCATATGTCTATATATGAATACAAAATAATGTTTATATATATGGATAAGTTTATATTTCTATGTCTATTATATGTCTAAATGTATTCGTTTATTTTGTTGGTAACTATGAACATCCTCAAAGAATTGTTCTTCCATAATAGAAATTTATTATTATTATTATTATTATGGTTACTATGAATAGTAATTATGATTGAGATATATTCTCAACTTGTATTGTACAGTGATAATGTAACTATTTATTGTCTTATTCTATTGTATTTATATTGTTGGTAATTTCGAAACTTACCGTCCATTATAATCACATGTAATCCATCCAGATCATTGAAGATAAGCTTATGATGATGTAATCATACTTATTATGTTGTTGATGTAATAAGACTATTGTAAATCAACAGTATACAAAGTGTTATTAGAAAATATTATGAATCGATATAAATTATTCTTGTCATTGTGTATTTTTTTTTATACGATGGTGTATTTGATAGTTTGACGATGATTTGTGACTAAGTATCTGACTCCAATTGGATTGTATGTTGATTGTTTACTTACTTACATTTACTTACACCTGTTACTCTTAATGGAGCATAGGCCGCTGGCCAGCATTCTCCAACTCACTCTATCCTGGATTTTGCTTTCTAGTTTTATCCAATTGTTGTTCAGCCTTCTCATGTCTGTCTTTGTTCATTGACATAATATGTCCTTTATTCTTCAACTTCTCCTTTGACCCTGAGAATTCCATGTGGGGCTTTGCCTTGTGAAGCAGTTCAGTGCTCTACTCAATGTATGTCCTATTCACTTCCAGCGGTTGTTCCTGATTTCTTCCGCCACTGGGATCTGGTTTGTTCTCTCCCATAGTAGATTGTTGCTAATTGTGTCTGACTAACGGATCCAAAGTATTTTGAGTAGACAGTTGTTAATAAACACTTGTATCTTCTGGATGATGGCTTTTGTAGTTCTCGAAGTTCCCGCCTGATGCATTAGAACTATCTTGACATTTGTATTGAAAATTCTGAGTTTGGTGTTGGTTTATAGATAGTTCTTTTTAGTTCCAGATATTCTTCAATTGTAGATATGCTGCTCTTACTTTGTTGATTCATGCCTTCATATCTGTTCCAGATCCACCGTGTTCATCAATGATTCTCCCCAGATACGTGAAGGTTTTCACATCTTCCAAATTTTCTCCATAAATTGTGATTCGATTGTTGCATATTGTGTTGTAACGGAGAATCTTGCTTTTCCGTTTGTGTCTGTTGAGACCTATTACTGTTGAGGCTGCTGCTACACTAATTGTCTTCTCCTTCATTTGTTCTTGCGTGTGGGATAGGAGAGTCAGATCATCAGCAAAGTCTATATCGTCCAGCTGCAGTTTATTCAATGAATGTAATAGCAGTAATATCATTCTTCTTCTTCGTGGGTTTCGAACTTTCCTGACTATCTAAATACCATTGTTCTTTGTTCATTTGATAGATTTAGAAAGATGATAAACTATTCTGACATGTCATTTAACATCTCTTCACTAAGTTTTCAATATATGAATTTTGAAGCTGAAGATTTTAAGGAATCTGTAATTTTTAACTGATAAGGGCTTTCTACTTGGTAAAAACTAGGTCAAGTAAGGTATGTTCAGTTTGTGATGAAAAATAGGACCTCTTGTTAAAAGTTACCACTTGTAAATTTAACCATTTGGAAGATTAAGTTCATGTTCATTGATTTTACTGATTAGAATATAATAAATCCACCAAAACTTGTTGGCTTTCGGATTTCAATTCATTGATAAAATTCTATGTTCGTTATGGGTTAAGTGTTATTATTATTATTAGCTTTATTCAGTATTATATTCTTGGTACCATATAGAATTCTCAGCACAATGTATTTCAATAAGTTTCGTTTCCCATCCTAATGATAAATATTGAGTGATCGCCAATTAGATGTTGGCAGTTTAGGAATCGATATCTGAATAATGTACATTATTTTCTATATATAATGTCAGTAACCAAAAAGTTACTGGCTGTGCAATTTCCTAACTGAATACGTTGTGCAATTAATTGACATAATGATCTGTTCAAACAAACGAAACTTAGTTAACTTGTTGAAATATCTAGATGGCAGGAACAGGTAGTCCAGATATTGTTCTGGAGGTACTTGAAAAGGAAATTGGATTAGAGGTGGTCTTAGTGATCTGAGAGCGTGACCGCAGTGCCCAATGGACAACTACTTGAGGTCGGTCACGCGCGACCTTTTTATGGGTAATTTTCGTGTTAGCTCCGTACTTGTTGAGACTTTTCCGTCGGAGACGGATATCCGTGAGGTGTGCATTTTTAGGGTCGACCTTTACTAATCCCACCCCTCCTTGTGGGAAGGCAGCATCGCTGTCATGCTGGTCGTCTGAAGGAAACACCTTACTGCTGTCACACCTCTGTACAGTCAGCAGTACGACTTCGCCTTCGGACCTTGGGTTTGCTGTTTTTAGTCTTACCGCTCTTCAACCGACCTGTCTAACATGGTAGGACCTTGAGGAATGGTTGTTCCAGTCAGTATAGCTTGGTTGCTTGATCACGATAGGCAAGCTCGACCACCACGTTAAGGTAGCAACAACTGTCGGGACCTAAAGTCTCAACAAAACTTCCACCAGTATCAGACAGTCATAACTGTCTATCTGTCCACACATCTATCTATCTGTCTATCTATCTATCTGGTTGACTAATGAACAAGTTGGTTAGCTTACTTTTTATCATATACCTACGTAGCAGTTCAATTTAAGAAGAAAAAAAAGCAACATTCCAATTTATAACAAACGTTTATTTTTATTAATTAAAATTCTATTTCTTTTTTTTTCTTATTTCTTTCCTTTCATTGATTTATACAAATAATTTTCTTTCCTCTTCTTTTTTTTTTTGTTGAAAAATCAACTGGCGCGACTTTAAAATTTAAACGTCGCATAGTTGAAATGAACTGAACAATACAAACTATAAACCAGAATGAAAAAAAAGTAGAAGAAGAAGAAAATTAGTACCTTTTTTCTTTTTTTTCTTTCTTTTTTTTCTTTCTTTTTTTTGTAACTTGTTCAATGAATTCAATTTCAATTGAATAATGTTGAAGTTGAAGTACAATAAAGATACATATACAATAATAATAATAAGGCACAATTGAAATGAATTATTGAATATAAGGCAACAAAATTGTATACAATAAGAAGGATTTCTTTTTAAAAAAAAAGAAAAGAACAAACATAAAAGAAAGAAAAGAAAAGAAAAAGAAAGACAAAAGAAAATAAAGATGCCTAGAACATTGTTTATTGATTGGATTTCAAAAACTTACTAATATTGTATGTATATATAAACAAAAACAAAACGTAGATTTATCAACAAAACACAAAGATATTGATTTGAGTACAATAAAAGTCAGTACAATATTACTATATAACTATGACTACTGCTTATATTATTATTATTATTATCATCATCATCATCAGAATATTAATGTTCATTGCAGTAGTACTTAAATAGATGGCTAATTCATAACAAAATAACCAAGAAAACCAAATGCAAAATCGTGAAATATGTTCATCGATTAGAAGTAACCGAAAAATCAATATGTATATATATGTATATATATGTATGTACCTAGACATCAGAAGGGCACTTAATACTGATATCAGAAAAATATGATGTAATCGTTACTTTCCTCGGAAAAAAAAAGAAAACAATCCCCAGTTAGACAAACATCTTTATGGAATTACAAATAATCCAATTCGAAATTTCTTATTAACATTAAATGAATTGAATACTATTGGCTTTTTTTAAGCATGTACATTATGTTTGAATAGAGACACGCTTAAAATGATTGTAGCCATGGTAACTATTTTTATCTATTATATAAAGATTCATTTAAGAAAATAGATAGAAGAAATGATTATAATCAAAACAAAAACAACACTGTATTGTTATAACTTAAGAATAAAATGCAAAAAACAAGAAGAAGATAAAGAAGAAAATGATAATCTGACAAATTATTGAAGGCACTTTGATAGATCTAAAATATTTAAAGGAATACATATTGGAAAGAGAAAAAGGAACTTCGAACTAACCAGGCAACTGTAATAAAGAAGAAAAAGAAAGAAAACAAAAACAGAAATAGAAGACTTTTGACTCAAACAAAATGCAAACAAACAATGACAGATTAATATTAATATAAAGTAAATACAATATATACTACTGAAGAAAAGAAAAAGAAAAAGAAAACAGAGTTATTAACAAAACCAAAATACATTAGTTTCCATTGAGCAATTGCTAGAAAGAACACAATTCACTATATCATACAATTACTATTCATGAATTATTTAATGATTATATGTATATGAGTGTGAGTATATATATGTGTGTGTGTGTATGTGTGTGCGCATGTACGTGCACACATGAGTACAAATAGAAACGAAAAAAAGGCGGGAGAAATTTTTTTTTTAAAAAAAACAAACGATTTCTGTATTCTTGTTTAAATAGTTTGTGTACTGAAAATAGTGAATTTGTAAATTGCAACGTATCATTATTATTATTATTACATGTCGTTACTGTATTTGCAGTGATCTATATATGTGAATGTGAAGAGAGAAAAAAAGAAGGAATATCTTTATTTGGATCATGTTTAATTTGTTATTCTGTTCTAAATTATACAAGCATATATGATTAAGATTGTCTATCTGTACAATTATGTAAGGGATTCTTTCTCAAGTTTTAGTCTCCTTCCTATGTCTTTCTCTCTCTCTCTCTCTCCCTCTGTCTCTCTCTCTGTAGGTATATATGTGTATGTGTGTGTGTGTGTGTGTGAGTGTATACTTCTCTGATTCTCCAAACGTCACAATTATTCAGCAGAATATTGTTTTATATTAGAGTAGATTAAGATAAGGAATTCTCTTTTGTTTTTTGTTTAAATGAAAATAAATCAATTTTGGAAGACATTTTGATGATCACATGAAGTAAATATCACGAAATTTCAACCACATCATCATCGGCATTATCATCGCCATCATCACCATCATCATCGGCATCATGATTAACATTAATATGCTACTACATAGTGAATGATTGTTCATTTTTAGCATCCCATAATATACTGAATAAATCATTTTCATTCAATTTTAATTGTTTATTAAATAATCCATTTAATCCTTTTGATATTTTATATTCATCATTTTCATTATTATGATATAATAATTCTATAGTTTGTTTCATTCTAACTTGTTTCCATATATCATATTGAAAATGATGCCATGTAGCATCAAATTCACGACTCCATTCTAAAAATTCTGTTAACATAATACGTCGTGAATTGGCAGCAATTTTCTCTTGTGATATAAATGTTGTATTATTATTATTATTATTATTATTATTATTGATATATTGATTATGATTATTCATTTGTAAATCAATATTTAATTGTGTTGTTTCCATAGCAACAATATCAATTGCTTCATGAAATAAATTTAAAAAATGTTCATGTAAACGTTGTAAACGTTGATTACGTTTAATTTTAATTATATTCCATTCATATTTTATATGATTGAAATGAGAATCATTTATAATTTGATCAGAAATTTCTTCATTTTTTATTAATATTGGATCAGTTAATTTTAATGCCATATATGCACTTAATAATAATGGATGATGAGCTAAGAAACTACTTAATTGAGATATATAAGCATCAAGATATTTTAATATTGGATAAGCGACTTGTTTATTATTATGATGATGATGATGATGATTTACAATTTTAGAATGAATTATCCCATTATTATTATGATTATTGCCATTACTACTACTATTATTATTATTATGATTATCAGTAGTATTAGTAGTAGTAGTATTGATAAGTGAGTCTTCTGTACTTAAATCTCCTAAAGCATTACTTAATTTTGTTAAATCTAAAACATGTACACAATTAGGTTCTGTTTGAAAATATATTAATTTTGTATTATATTTCTTATTTGATGTCGTTATTCTGGTTGATGATGATGATGATGACGAGCACGACGACGAAGACGACGATGATGATGATGAGAAGGAGGATATTAAACAATGATCCCCATCTTTGTTATTATTATTATGATGATGATGATGATTAATTGAACACTGAAATGATAGTTTTTCTAAATCATCAGTGAATTTATTGTTACCAATTGAAAAATGGTTACTTGAATGATTTAAATCTGTTGGGGTTTCTTGATTAAAATTGGTTGATAATAATGTTGATGATGACGACGATGCTGCTGCTGATGATGATGATGGTATCACAGTTTTGTTAACCAACAAAGAACAACCAATTAATAAAACGGGGACACAATCTGTAAATCGATTCTGGAAGAAAACAATTCAAAAATAATATTTACTCAATAACTAATTTAATATGATGTTGTGCATATTGATTGAATAATAATGCTCTGTAAATTCACTTGGATTTGTTTTACTTGTATCTTCCCATTGTTATTTAAGACTGCAATTGATCAGTCTAATGCACAAGCAGGAGTGAACAACAACTCTGCGATGCAGGTACATCCAGCTGACGAGTTCCAAATGGGACGAAACGTGCGTTTTGGATTCCATTGCTAGCCACTATCCATTTTTGCTTAATAATGTTCTATGCATGCTTAATTGTTAATCTGATAATATGAATCATTGTTGTTTATGAACGAACAAGTTTCAAACTAAAAAGCAAGCATCTACTTTACTTATTTAAAATACTAAACATGTAATCGGATATTTTGAAGTTAGCATTGTCATGTATTCTATCTTTGAAACCTATTTCACTTTACCTACTTACTTACTTAGGGCTATTACTCATTGTGAGTCATACGCTACAGATAAGGTTTCTCCAACCTATTCTATATCGCCCACTAACATTTCTAGTTATTCTTAATTACTATCCGCTATTTTTGCGTCCGATTCCAATATCTAACGCAAAGTATTATTTGACCTGCTTCTTCTCCTATTCCCACAAGAATTACAGATTAAGGCTTACCGCATGATGTAATTTGTTAGTACCCGTAATGTGTGTCCCGTGTAACGTTTCAGCTGAAATTTGATTTGTTCTTCTACACATAACGTTGTTTCTGATAGTTTCTTGACAATGAATATGGAGTACCTTGCGTAAACAACTCTTTGTAGGTATCTGTACATTTGTATATGTAGATTGATTATAATTCGTTAGCGGCTTTCGTCACATTGGTCCGACTAGAAATATCATTGAAAGACAGGGATCACCAAACATTTGCCTCCCATTATAATCATCTATTATAAATAAACTCCAGATGTCAACTGTGCATCTCTTCCTAACTCTATTTGCAAGACATCTTGCCAGCTTTCGTTTGCAACGAATGTACACAAAACTAACATATTGTTTACTAGTATAGAACTTCTTTTCAGTGTAATAAAACGTCGAGAAAATGTAATTTATTATAAAAATTCCACATCATTAGATAGCTGAATGTATACCATTAAAATTGGCCCAGAAGTTCTTTTATTTTAATATTCTAATCAACGATGATGAAATAATCATAAATGCAAAGGCAACAAAAAAGTCAAGCTTATCAATAATCTTTACCAGGAATTCATTCCCCATTTTATTGGTCAACACATTTAAAAAATAAACATATAATTAATATTAGAACGGGTTTTGGAATTCAAGATTAGAATCTAAAACCTGTCAGTCACACACACGAGCGCTTAACATCTAGACCCCTGAGCCGGCCGGTATTCAACGGCGTTAATGTCCAACTTCAACTGATCCACGAAATTGAGAGATACATACATCATTGTCATCGGTGGATTACTATCTCACAACAGACCCGGTTGAACTCTACTGGTCACTACTTCTCACTAGAACTCCAGGAAATACGTCTTAAAGACCGTCCTAGTGAGCATATGTTAATTAATATCAGAAGGAGTTTTGTAGATATTATAGTAATTTTTCATAGGCGAGATGATGAGTCAATTGAATCTAGACCACCACAAAAAACCTGGAAGCATAGGACGACTGTTTCATCCTAGTATGAGACTCTTCAGCGTTATGCATCTACTATCCCTCCTCTTGGGGCTCGAACCCTGGACCTATCAGTCTTGCGCTCGAGTGCTTAACTATTAGATCACTCATCCAGAATCGTCTAATTATCCATTCCTCACATTGATGATATAAAACATCATTGATAAATATATATTGAATTTCAATAAATCACTTACTTTTGCTATCCATAACATATCATCCCATGTTAAATATGGATCATTCATATCATTCAATACATGATTTATATTATTTTCTCTTTCATTTTGAAATAATCCATGAATTTGATTACAATCATTAAAATATTCATTTGTTGAAATGTATATATTAGATTCATTAATGCTTTGATTATTATCCTCATGTTCATGATTATTGTTGTTATGACAACTTGACAAAGATCCCATTTTATCATCATAATTATTATTATCTTGTATAAGATCACCTAATAATGACATTGCAAATACTGAAATACGACGTAGAAATAAATCACTCCATATATTAGCTATTGTAAGACACCATTTCAATGTAGGATATTCAGTGTAATCTAAATTTAAATCAATTTTTTCAGGATTTGGAATGAATCCATTTTGCCATATATTTGACCATGATTTCTTTACTTTAGTTAAATTTATTGGAATAGTTATGGTATTTTCATTATATAATTGATCTAAATATGAATGAATAGATAAGAAATTCTCATAATTAACATCAATTTATTATTAGAGATTAAGATGAGACTATCATTTATAGACGACCTTTCAGTGACGCTAGATTGACCGTGTCCACCTAGTAACCAGGACCAAATGAGGGTTATAAACCAGTGTGAGCAATTAGAATTATGATTTACAGTTGATTGTCAACGTAATGGAATTAGATTTAGGGTTTACATCACGAACTGACATCAGCTATAATCCGAAAACGGTATTGTGCCAAATGGATGAATGAATTTCGCGCCAAAACCTAAGACCTGTTATCTTTTACCTGATTGAATCGTCGATAAATTATAGTCTTGCCGAGATTCGATTTGAAAGTGAACTGTATAAAGTGAAATTCTTTAACATCGTATTATCATTATCATTTCTTATTCAAACCACCTTTATGTATTCAAAAACAGTTTTTTCTCACCTTAAACCTACCTCGGTAATATTGGCTTATTATCCAGAGTGATTAGGTTTCAAATTATGTTCACATTATTATTATTATTATTATTATTATTATTACTCTTATTATTATTCTTGTCTCCTCTTACCCCATTTTGAAGTCTAGCTGAGTTTTTATTTTTATATATATAAATGTTCTTAACAAGTACGTTATGTGTGATCAGATTGTTCGAAATGTATTGCGCTAATATATCATCATCACATAGTTCTGATAATCTTCGTCTTCTTATTACGTTATCGAAATTTATCAAAGGGTCTAATTGTTTTTAATAAAATGTTTGCCTACTAATAAGTAGTAAAAAGAGATAAACAAAATATTGTGGCGTTTTAATATTCATGACGAAATGATGTCATAGGTTGTGTCCATCCGTTAAAATTTTAACGTCTACGAAATTTATCATATTTTGTTTAATTTAAAATTGTGCTCTGTATACTTGAGTGCAAATACCGTTAAATATTCCATTTACAGCTTTAACATTAACAGTACAAGTAATTTTTTCCTTGAACATATCTTGATATAGTTCACTGAACATATTTGCCGTAGATTGCTATATATAACCTTAGTCGCTTGTATTTGATAACATTTATACTACAATATTCATCACTTAGCAACTAATTAAACTGAAACGATACTGAAAGTGAATGGTACGATGCAATAAGTGCATATTGGAAATGTTCCGCGTAACATTAGCCATATATACTAAGCGGTAAATATCTGCATTAGAAACCTGGTTTTTAGACAAGTATTATTATTTTTGAATCTATAATTATAATAACTCTGTTCATTATCTGATCAGTTAGCTATTAGATATTGATTAAAACTGATGATTCTTTACATCGAGAATTTACGTTATTCGGAAGTGGGAGATAAGAACAGTATAAGACATTACTAGACTAAAAGACCTAGAATTCGATTACATCTGCAGTTATGAGAATGAACTACCAAGAACATTTAATTTCCCGGCTAAATATCTAATTTTTGCTTGATATATCATTCATAATCACTTGTAGTCCCATAGTTATTAATCACTGAGTAATATTACCAAGCAACATGTCATTTATTCTCTTAATGTTGATCATATGTATATGTGATAGAAATGAGAACCTGATTTGAATAGTATTAATCTACACTAACTTTCTCAGTTTCGTTCCGTTACAACAAAAAAGGAACCTTATCAAGACACTACATCATAGAATCAAGACTATATGCACTATGGATACGATTGAAGATTAAACAAAGACATTGTTTACAACCCTGAAGGAAAATGAATATCCAGAGAAATTTATAAATAAAAACTTAGCCAATAAAGGACAGCGTAGAGAATGCCCAACGGTGAATAAAAAAGCCTCTATATATACGCTTACAATTCACAGGCGACGCGCCAAGTGAAATGTTAAGACTTAAGTTGAGTAGATCAATTCAAAGGACTTTTAACGCAGCTAGACTACAATTAATGTTCTCCACACGACCAATAATCACTCCGAAGTTGAAAGATAAATTACCTAGACTAGCCACCTCCTGCTGTATCTATCAATTCAACTGCTCCTGTGGAGCAAGTTATATTGGCAGATGTTCTAGGAATTTGTACATTCGGGCTCGTGAGCACCTACCTGTGTGTTTAATCAAAGGTGTTGTCAAAACTGTTAACAGCTCCATCTTAGACCATTTATTCCAAACAGGACATACTGCAAACATGGAGCAATCTTTTGCAATAATCTATCGTGTCAACAGAGGTCTACGTAATTCCACCAGACTGCGAATCCTACAGACGGCTGAAGCAATTGCTATTCGGATCAAAAAGCCAGAGCTTTGTATCCAAAAGAAGTATGTTCAGCCACTCCTTTTACCCTGGCCAACTAGCTCATAATCAATCTTATAATGTGGTGAAGTAATCTGATTAATGTTCATTTTATGTCCCAAACTTATTATTATTATTGCTGCTATTATTATTATTATTATTATTATCATCATTATCATTATCTTTACACTTGATAACCTTTTGAGGAATTTATTCAATATTCACCCCTATATATACTATATCTGACCTAATTCATATCATTCCACATATTACGTAACTTCAGATTTTTATTCCATTAGTTTCTCTCTCACCCCATGTTGACCATATTTATTCTGATCATTATTTATCTCACAAGTTGAAATCATGAGCCAATTGAAGCTAGACCACCGTGGAAAACCTGGAAGCACTGGACGGCCGTTTCGTCCTAGTATGGGACTCTTCAGCAGTGCGCACCCACGAACCCGCCCCCCGCGGGATTCGAACCCAGGACCTACTGGCTTCGCGCGCGAGCACTTAACCATTGGACCACTGAGCCGGCATCCAACGGTGTTAATGTCTAACTTCAACCAATCCACGAAGTTGCGCCACCGTACACCATTGTCTTCAGTGAGTTCCTATCTCACAACAGACCTGGTTGAACTCCACTGGTAACGACTTCTCACTAGAACTCCAGGAGTGTTTCCTGAAGTCAGTCACTAGTGAGCAGGTGATTATTATTATCAGAATGGGTTTTGTGGAGATTTTTAGAAATTTCACAAGTTGAAATCATGAGCCAATTTCATTTCGCTTATAAACTGATTCAAGTGAACACTTCATATTAGTCAGCCCCATGATTAACGATTTTATTTTATATAGCAAACAATTCGTGGTTCACATATTACAATTTCCAAATGATGATGTACTCTGACTTAAATTTGGCCAATTTTATGGATTATTCATTCGGATATGAGAGAATTGTAGAACCTGATGAGAAATTCATTGAAAAGAATATTCTTCATTCATATAAATTGTGTTTTAATATAATGGGAATTTTTCAGCGATTATACATGATCTTAATTTCACCTAACAATCTGATGTGCGATCATTTCGGATCAGTACAAATCACATTAGGATAACTTACTTTTATTTTGGAAAACACCAGACATGCCATCAATTTCATTATCATTTTTGTTTAGAACAGTGAAAATCTGAAAAAAAGAATGACAAAATATATAAAAATACTTTTTTAACACTGATTTCAATGATAAGCTTTTAATGTATTAGTAACCCTTTAGTTTGATACTGATCAACACTGTTAAAGAGTGATAACATTAAATTAACTAAAGAGATTAACAGAGGTTGATTATGAATACAGTAGACCTAAGTGTAGTTATAAATCTTCCCTTAAACCGTGAGATTAAAATCACTTTGTGTCTTTCTTTCTACCAACTAATTCTTTCTTCCTGTACTATCTCCTTATATTCAATCTTTGTTTTATATATTACCACCACTGAATTAACTACTTGTATGAATTCGGTGTTCATCTTAATGTGCAAAGGAGGTATGGGAACTTGAATTGATGCATATATGTGACTGGTCCTACGTTATAGCTGACTGACTAACTGACTGAAACAGATTAACATATATGTTGTAGGATCCGGTACAAGTATCGGGAATAAACTTTCCAAACTTTTCATCAATTCAAAGTAAATAAAAAGAGTGGTCATGATAACTGAAGCTAAAAACAAAACAATGAAAATAATAGTAATGGTTACAGTTGTAGTTTATAATAAACACATTTGGAACATACTTCTAAAGAATGAACGGATATTACTTTGGCAACATTCATATAAAGATTCAGTGATTTTAAAGGACTAATAACTTATCCATGTTTGGTCTAGGCTTTTTCAACCGACCCAGATACTAGCGAGTGTAGCAGGCTAGAGTAAGATATAGTTGAATATGCGTAATCAATAGCTTCTTTACAAAAGGAAGGATCAAGTAGCCATTACTGCGTAATGAGACAACCTTGAAATGTGTTGTGATCAACTCATTAAATTACCTAACGTATTCTGGTAACATTTACGTAACAGTCTTGAACAAAGATTCCAATCTCAAGCGAATCAATAGCTACCTCAGGATTATAGATGTCTTTTGTTAACAATCCATATGTAATATAAAACCTAGGTGAAGAAGGTTTTCCTATTGATTTCATTAATTCACATAATAAATCATAGTATACTGCCAGCAATTGTAACATTACACAACGATAGTTTGCTATCTAAAAAAACGAATGAAAATCAAATTCTCATCTAAACAAAAAGTTCATGAAGTTGATTTCAATAGATTCAAATGGATTAAAGAATTCAGCTTGACGACAGATAGATAGATAGATAGATAGATAGATAGATAGATAGATAGATAGATAGATAGATAGATAGATAGATAGATAGATAGATAGATAGATAGATAGATAGATAGATAGATAGATAGATAGATAGATAGATAGATAGATAGATAGATAGATAGATAGATAGATAGATAGATAGATAGATAGATAGATAGATAGATAGATAGATAGATAGATAGATAGATAGATAGATAGATAGATAGATAGATAGATAGATAGATAGATAGATAGATAGATAGATAGATAGATAGATAGATAGATAGATAGATAGATAGATAGATAGATAGATAGATAGATAGATAGATAGATAGATAGATAGATAGATAGATAGATAGATAGATAGATAGATAGATAGATAGATAGATAGATAGATAGATAGATAGATAGATAGATAGATAGATAGATAGATAGATAGATAGATAGATAGATAGATAGATAGATAGATAGATAGATAGATAGATAGATAGATAGATAGATAGATAGATAGATAGATAGATAGATAGATAGATAGATAGATAGATAGATAGATAGATAGATAGATAGATAGATAGATAGATAGATAGATAGATAGATAGATAGATAGATAGATAGATAGATAGATAGATAGATAGATAGATAGATAGATAGATAGATAGATAGATAGATAGATAGATAGATAGATAGATAGATAGATAGATAGATAGATAGATAGATAGATAGATAGATAGATAGATAGATAGATAGATAGATAGATAGATAGATAGATAGATAGATAGTTTTTTCTATGTATACAAGCATCTTTTCAAGTTGAAGGAAATAAAAAGAATGAAAAGTCACAAAAAGAATGAATTTCCTCTTTATCTCCAGGAATATTTATATATAAACCAACTGATTCTTGAAATAAACATAAAGCGGTTTAGTCATAAAAGATTATCATTCTAAGTTAATAGGCAGTTTCCATTCAATTTAGTCATTCATACAGTTCTATTTGGTGATTTGAAGGTTTATTTTACAATGAAATGAATATTATTACTGATTGATAGACATCATTCCTATCGGTATCCTTATTGTTTATCACTCATTATTTAAACGTTTATACAAACATACACCCCGATTATTCATTATTCATGTTTGTAATTTCTTTTTACAAATTTCGATGAGATAAAGACCGCTATGAAGAATATCTGAAACTCAAAAGAACTGCCAACAAACACCAAGGTCAGAATTTTCAATACAAATATCAAAATAGTTCTACCGTATAGGGCGGAATCTTGGAAAACTACGAAAGCCATCATCTAGAAGATAAAAGTGTTTATTAACAGCTGTCTAAACAGAATACTTCGGATCCGTTGGTCAGACACAATCAGCAACAACCTACTATGGAAGAGAGGAAACTAGATTCCAGTGGAGGAAGAAATCAGGGGGACTTGCTGGAAGTGTATAGGACACACATTGAGGAAAGCACCCAACTGCGTCACAAGGCAAACCCCTACATGGAATCCTCAAGGGCAAAGGAGGAGAAGAAAAGGAAGACCAAAGAACATATTACGCCGAGAAATGTAGACAAATATGAGAAGACTGAACAACAACTGGATAGAACTGTAAAGGAAGGCTCAAGACAGAGTGAGTTGGAGAATGCTGGCCAGAGGCCTGTGCTCCATTGAGAGTAACACGCGTAAGTAAGTAAGGTAATAAATACTCTTGATAATCAAAGTTTACTTTTATAAGTTCATGAATGATCTATACAATTTATGGTTGATAATCAATGGTTTGTAAAGGTATCACTTTTATATTATAGATTGAAGTTCTTCAACGAGATATCATACCAAGATGTCGAGTTTTGTAAGAATTTTTTACTCGACTGCACTAATATAAGTCTATAAAATTATATAATCGTATGATAGTTATGATAGTCATATTTGTGTAAACATCTCTAACGCCAGTTTGAAATATCACTTATTGTGAAATAGGATGAAACAGTCATTGAAATGTGTCACATTTGATTATAGAGGTTGGATCCCACTCCAAGTTATACATGTACATGTTCGAAGAGCTACAAAGTCAAAACACTTGTATAATTCTCTCTATAATTCTTAATGTTAATCCAATTGATATCTACTTAAGAGACATAAGATTATTTAGTTTTCTTGTAGTTGAATTTTTGTTGTTTTTTAGTAAGAGTAACAATGATAACTTGGTTCTTATTCGTATTTCTATGCTGATCTTTGCTATTATCTTATTTTACGAATTTTACCATTTGTCCCAAGGTCGTGTTTGGCTATTATATGTACAGAGTTGTTTCATTTCGAATATGTCTTCTTGAAAACAACGTTTTCCTGATCACATATCTCCCACTGTTTTGAGGATTACTGAGTAAATGCCATGTATCGCTCGCCGTTTCACTGAGTTCTCATTAGATCACACATCTATTAAACGAAGTTATCGTAAGCTGAACGTAGCAGTATCGTTTCATCATATCGATTGTAACAAAAACCTATAAGTTGATCATAGTGTTATTGTTAACTGAATAAAATAGAGTATTAAGCAACAGTTGGCATTTATTTTAAGTATCACTTGTGATTCATATTTATCAAAAACCACGCTGAAATCAACTTCTAAACTATTCAGTTTATAACATTATCCAGTAAATGGAGTACACCCACTAAGATATTAAATAAGAAAGATTAGTTCAATGAAGAGTTCTCTTGTCGGCGGATTCATTTTCAAAGCTGTAAAATCACAAATATACATATATTTCAGGATGATAATAACTACGATAACAATAATCATAAAATCACTCAGTGTTGTTTTACTTGTATCTTCCCATTGTTATTTAGGAGTGCACTTGATCAGTCTCTTGTTGGCATATATGCCTACTGTGCGTATTGTCTCCATATAGCCTTAAGTCGCAAGCTTGATAAGCAAAGGATAATAGTGGCTAGCAGTGGAATGCAGTTTGACACGTGTTTCGTCCTATTTGGGACTTGTTTAACTGGATGTATCCGCATCCCAGAGTTGATGTTCACCCCAAGGACTCAAACCTACTACCGTTCACTTCAAACATCATCGCCGTTATCCACTTAGGTACTGAATCCTGATATTCATTGTGATTGTACAGCTTTAATAATGAATTCACTGAAAACAGAATACTTCGTTCAACCAATGATTATTATAAAATTATCATCAATTACTAAGGACATTAATTCATTAAAACTCTATTCAGATTTAATCATTAATGACTTTTCTAAATCATAACAATCTAAGATTTTGATAGATTCATTATATCTAACACAATATACAATACTTACCATTCAACTCGATCACATTCCATTGTTTTATAATTCTAGTGAACAAAAAATTCTAGGGACTACATTTTGAAATGAAAAAAAACTTATATTCACTTAACAAGATCAGATCTCAATTTATTTCGATCGTATATATATAGATTGTCTGTCAAGAAATGTAACAGTATTATGTAACATGATTCTATGTTAACTCAGTAGGAAATCAGTTAGTTATATTGTAATAGAAAATGAAAACAAAGAAAGTAATGATAAAATCAACTTGAGATGATTTCATTTCAAATGGTAAATGATTTTGAACTGTCATAATTGTCACCTTAGAATAAGCAACTTATTCTAATAATATAGATGTGGAATGATAAATAATTAGCTGACATCCAATGGTGTTAATGTCTAACTTCAACCAATCTACAATGTTGCACCACCGTATACCGTAGACTGATAGGTCCTGGGTTCAAATCTCGCGGGGTGCGGGATCGCGGATGTGCACTGCTGAAGAGTCAAATAATTAGTTAGTTTGATTAGTTCATTCTACGGTGTATACTACTGATATCAACAGATATAAGTAGTGTGTATCATCAATCGAATATGAAATACCTGACAGAAGAATGTTAGGTTGATTGAAGAATAGAGAACAAGAACAGTGAATGATTGCTGTGGAAATGAAATAAATGGGAAATCTAAGTTGATTGATTGATACTTTTGCAAATGGAGTATTTAATGTATGGTTCACAGATTTTATTAAGATGTTCTGTAATTTTGTATTCAAAGACATTCGATTTACCCTACTTGGGTTTTTGCTTACTACAATTCTACAAAATAATCTGGATTGACTTGAACTATACACCAATTGACGACCAGGGAACCATTAATAGCTTTTTCATTCTAGTTTAGGACTCGTTAGCAATGGATACTAACAACCATCAAGATTGTTCGTATTCAAGATATTCAGATGTTTGGGTTAGAGAATTACGTCTAGTCTGTTGATTCATCATTTCATGCTGCAAACAATCTTCAGATTGAAAATTCACTATGAAACGTCTATCCTAAATTTATTAATGATTAAATTCATTTACTTTGCTAATTCATATTTTGTTGCTACAGTTTTTATGATAGGTGGTTGTGGGTGTTTGGTAGAAAACCCTGCCTGACCTAGGTTATATCTTAATTGCCACTCGTCACTAAGGAGTACCAGCAATCTTAAGGGGACTGATACTACCAGTAGTATACAAAACTATTAAATATATAAGTAATAGCATTTCATTAATCACTAATATAGATAAGTTTTAGGGATTTACAATTGATTGATCGCTGGGTGGTGATCAATGTCGTGTATGTCAGGTCCATTTTAATGCAGATCGAATTCTCAGTCCTACAGGAGGTCAGTCACTGCCTGGACAGCCCAGTGGTAACGTCCCTGACTGTAAAGCTGAATGTCACAGGATCGAATCCGTCAGGGAGCATCAGTTCTCTCAAGATTACACGAACACCTTGCTGAGGAGTGCCAAGTAGCACAAAACCTAGGTCCAGGGTTTACTGCTGACTACCTCCAACCACCATTCTAAGTTTTGGGAATGTTAGAAAGTTTAACAAATGAAACATAACGCATTACATCATAGTAATGAAAAGATAGAAAAATACAGTATAATAGTGATTGTTTATCGTTAAAATTATTTAGTGTCTATTGGCCGCATTATTTCATATGAAAAATATGTGACAATTTCCTGCGGAATGTAGTTTGCTAATAGTAACATTGATTTTGGTATTATGGATAAAGTACCTGACTATGCTGACTACAAAATATTCTATTCAATAGTTGAAAATCCCAAACAGATCAACATTTTATGGTTGAACATTAATCGCTAAGGTGAAAGTTATTCAGTTGTAAATGAAAAATATTGATATACTCAAACGAATAAAGAAAAATCATAAACCGCATACAACATGATAGCTGACTATAAAGTCTGTTCTTAAATTTCTCGTCTTGATTTATGGTCATTGAAGTTCAACCATGTTGGCAGTAAGAAAAAATAGAGCTGTTAATAACGAATGATAGTTAGACTGTAATTCAAATTGTTGAATATTGTTCATATCATGAACCAGTATAATTTCAGCATCAACCGAAAACAAGGCGGTACAGCACAGATGTCTTGTCATATTGTGGGACTCCTTAAAAAAGTGAATCCATAACCTCATCGAAAAGGACAAAACTCGGGGCTTTTGGTTTAGCGAAAAGGTTCAATCTTCAGACCTCTACAATAGTATACATGCCGAACTTTAACGAGCTCACAATACTTTCAGACCACCTGCAATTGTTTTATGTGGCTAACTACTCATGCCTGACAAGTTTTAACCCCACTACTCATAGTTTCTGATTAGGATTCCAGGAGTATGTATTTTTCTTAAAACAAATGAATATATTGAGATGTATTCTTAGTGTTATATCTTGAAGGTTGTACTTGATATACCGCGTATAACGTGAGCACTAGAACGCCAGAACCCTTCCAAGTCGCAATGAGAAGACAGAAGACTAATGAAAGCAATGTTATTCACAGACAGTGTCAATTATAGTACAAAATTGTTCGGTATTTAGTTTTTAGTAAGAACGAAATCATCATTGCAGTCCTTCAATCCACATACAGGGGGTTATTGGCATCGTCCAATCAGGAAGCTACATGCAGGAATTCTAGAATATTCTTCCAAAAGGTGATTGGATGAAATATGTTTGGCTCCTTCTGAGCCTCCTACAGCTTCCTCGAGTTTACCCGTGGTCCGTCGTCACGCTTAGTAATAACGATCTATTGAATTACAAAATTATCATAGTTGTTATGACGAAAAATAGTGTTTTCTACTTGATTACTAAGTGTGAACACTAAGACTGCAATGCAATTACAGCGAGCTGAAAAATTCAACACCGAATGAAGTTGTTGTCCTCAATCTCACTAACTCACCACTAACTACAATCTATATATTTCATAAAACGTGTAACAAAATAATTATATCGAAGCAATCTACACAGGACACACTTCTACCAGTGAAAAATGATGAAACTTCTGTGCTGAATGTTAACAATGCAATGATTCAATCGCTTACTAACAATAATCTAAACATCATATCCAATGAAGAATTTAGTAGTTATTTGAACTAAGTAGTTCAGTGTATGTTTTGCCATTAAAACTAAAAGGTACCACATTTAAGTCTCATTGTGAACATTAACACTGGTATTCACATTCTTCTACACGACATAAGTCATAAATAGGATGAGTGCCAGGTCAATCAGCAATCAACAAGCACATTGAAATAGATCCAATTTATCAACCAATCAGGAAAATTATGCACAAATATAGGAACAAAAATCAAACCAATGGGAGACACAACCAAAACAAAGGAGTAAACAATGACAAATGTAAGGTCAATAAGAACCAACTTAACGTCGAGATGTACAGAACAAGCTGTAAAACGCATATGGAGGAATTTGAACACTTCACTTCTATCTGAAATTTTGTGCTGATGATGTCGTTCAGAAGAACGATGAAAGCTCGACGACCAAATCATCCAGCTCAGAGAACAAAACTCCATCAAAATCATCTACCTGATCTACAAATCTTCTCTACCATAGATCCATCTATTCTATAAAAAGTACTTTATATAACTTTTTAATTGCATTCTTTTTTTTTGAATAACTTACTTGTTCACATTTTGTTTGTAATTCTGGTTTATTTGAATCCAATTGATGATGATTCAGATTTGACCAAGAATTATTATTATTATTATTATTATTATTGTCACTATCGGGAATACTTATTATTGGATAATCATCTGATAATTTACTTTCATTCAAGAATAGTATATTATTTAAATCAACCGGTAAGATGTAATTAGTATTCGTGTAATTATTATTATTATTATTACTGTTTTGTTCAAATTGTAAAGATTTAATAGAATTCACATTTAATTGTAGTTCATTGCATCTAATTGAAATAGACGACGATGATGATGATGATGATGACGACGACGACGACGACGACAAAGAAGAAGAAGAGAACAAGGAAACAGAAGAAGTTGGTAATAATGGAGATAGTTCACTTGACAATGAATTCATTGTAGTTTTTAATGATAAATCAAATGATAATTTATCATGACTATTTATTGAAATACATTCTAAAGATTGATCGACTGAATTATTATTATGATTACTATTTGTTGAATAAGTTGATAACAAAGATTCATTTTGTTGTGTAGTGATTATCGGTATTGTGAATTGTTCATCTATTGATGAAGTACTCCATAATGGTGTAACATTTGAATGTTTACACATTTCTGTTAAACTATTTGGTATATTCGATATATTAGGTATAATTAATGTATCAGTTGAATACATTAAGCTAGATGTTATACAGGGTGAAACAATTGAATGATCATTCATAAAATTGCACATTAAATTATTTTTAGATAAATTATTATGTAATATTATTGCCGAGGTTAAAGATGTTGTTGTTGTCATTGGTGGTGGTGGTGTTGTTGTTGTTGTTGTTGGTGGTGGTGGTTGTGTAAAAGCTGATGGTGATAGAATTTTCGAAGGTGGTTTTAATTGATTTGTACTTTCTTGTTGTTCAATCAATTCAGTAGAATCAGTTAATAGAATGAGGTCATCTAGTTTTTTTTAATGAGAGTAAAACAATTATTCAATGAAATTTACTTTATTATTGTATTTAATAAAATAAAATATCAAAAAGATGATGATAGTTTATATCACAAATTGATTTTGAATGAAATAATTATCAAGGATTAAGCATTCGCGTGAAAGACTGATGGTTCTAGGTTCGAATCCCGTGGGGAGGATCGTGGATGAGCACTATTGAGAAGTTATATATTAGAACGAAAGGGCCGTCTAGTGCTTCCAGATTTTTCATGGTGGTCGAGATTTAATCGACCCACGAATTCAATTATTAAATTATTAAAAAGCCATAAATGCTGGTTTCTGGGAATTTATTTCTTTTCTCTACACATTATATCAAATAAGAAATTATTGATTAACAAAAAAAGCATTACATAATGAGGTGGTGGAGAAGATTTGTAGCTTAGGTGGATGATTTTGATGGAGTTTTGTTTTCTGAGCAAACCATCTAGCTCAGAGAACAAAACTCCATCAAAATCATCCACCTAAGCTACAAATCTTCTCCACTATCTAAAAATCATATGAGCGTAGTACGCTTTTCGTTGTTCGAAAATGGGAGAATTGAACCAAAAGACAAGCTTTCACTCGAGAACAACTATATTTTCTCTATAAGTGACTTCGTTAGCATGTTTACCCAACAAGTGGAAGATACGATCCCCAATCAACTTCCCATTGGGATGGAGAATAGTACGACCAAACCAACCAACTCAGAGAACAAAACTCCATCAGAACCATTAAATAATATTGGTCAGCTTTAATTGAAGATTTTATTCAAATATATATCTACCAGATATCAAAGAGTCACGTTCAGAAGATTAAGAAAAACACAAATCCTTGCGTTTAACTTAAGGTCACTCCTATGTCTTAATATAAAGGAAAATAAGATTCGAAAATCACTAGCCAAGATTTATCTCTTGTCTAATATAATAATTGTTCTGATATTGAACATTGAAACCCGAATGTTTGTGTCTAATTCTCATGGTCAGCTTTCTAACTGACATCATTGTATTAAAAATAAAGCTTTTATATAAATAACTTTTAGAATAAATCCATCTGACTATGGTAGTATTTCGATGAGTTGAGTACTATGTACACTTTAAACACCAACATCTATTCTGGAACTCTAAACGTAAAGAAGGCTAGAAATAAACTGAAGAACTTATGTTTGGATGTACTGAGAATGTCTGTATTTGTACAATAATAAACGACATTGTAATTCATAAAGCTTTGTGAAAAGAGGCTGCATTGATTGATTGTTGAATGAGAATAGACGAGGAATAAGCAACCCTTGTTTAGATTTTTACTGAACATTTACAAAGAACACTGATTACACTAAGATTTTCTATAGCTGTCATAGAAACAAATCATTTAAAGTAATTTGTTGTATACCTAATACTTTTCATCATGGGGCTCAATCCCGTCTCTTTACATATAGAAAAAAACTATAAGGATTCAAGGTAACGACCTAAGTATTTGAATTCGTACTATATTTACAATGCTTATCACTTCCTTGACCGAATTAGGCTTAGTGAATGGTTTTACTTACTTATTAGTCTTCATACATTTTGTTCGTTTATTTTTATTCCCGTCTTTGTCAAATCCATTCTTCATTGTCAAATTATCAGAACACTTCTTATTACTTAATTTTATTGGGCTTTTTCAATGAATGTCAATTCAGTGTCAATTTTTCTGGATCACTCATCAATTTCCTGTTACGAAACATTGATTGTGTAACGTTTATGTAATCTGTTTCCCTATAAACACTAAGTCTTAAATGCCTTAGTTAGAATAGTGTATTTCATACATAGACATACCTATTACTTTATATTAGAGCAAAGTTTGATGAGGATCTAAATGAACACTAATTGATCCATAGTTTTCACTTGATTCTCGAAGACTTTTCCAAGGTGTTATCAAGGAATATCAGAATAATAAAAACGACTGAAAACAATTATACTAATCATATTCTATTATTTCCAAACAAATTTATTATCAGCTTTTTTGAAAATCTACTAACCTAAGTGATTGATATCATTCAAAGTGCTGAAGTCCACATTTTGGTGATGATGATAATGTTCTGTGTAAAGTAAATTCGATGAAGGTTGCTTATCATCATTATTATTAATTCTTGTATTTGCTATCGTTGTTTTCTTGGTATTTGTAACAGTACTACCAGAAGTTACTTTTACCATCGCTACTGTCGCTTCTGTCAACGTCGTTGTAGATGGTATGATAAGAGACGATGATGATAATAATGGTGAGGACGTAATACAGTTGACATTGTTTATAGTAGTTTCATTATTGTCACCATTTTCCGATGATGTTTTCCATTCAGTTAAATTGATATCACCGTATTTATTATTTTGACATGAATTTGGAATGATTAAACTATTGAAATGAAAAACTGTATCAGCTGGAAAATAATTAGTTGCTATGGTAGTTGTTATTCTAGGACTTGTCCTATCACTTGTACTATTATTAGTATTGTTATCAGTAATTATTTCAGTGGTTACTGAATTTACAATTAAGTCTTTATCAAGATTATTTTCAGTGATTGAATAATGAACATTATTTAAAATATTTGATGTATTCAATGATGGACTTGATGTTACGCACATAATATAATCATTTAATCGGTCATCATTAGTCACTTCTTCTTCTTCTACATATTGTTGACGCTGTTGATGATGATGATGATGATGATGGGAACGAGGTGAAATAGAAGTTGAATGATGATGATAATGATGTTGCTGATGAGGATTAAGGATAGAAGGATATGAAGGATCTGACAGGATTTCTACCGAATCATTCGAGTTAATGTTGAATCTTTTCAAATTAATCGATTTTTCCATACAGCTTATATTGTTTTCTTTATTGTTATTATTATTATTACGATTACTATTATTATTATTATTGTTGATATCTATAGGCTGATGTTCAGTTAGATGAGGCTTCAATTCTTTCGTTTTATTTTTAGAAAATTTATCAGGATTTAAGCGGTATTTTATGCGATGATTAGAATTATTAATTGTACTATTACCATTACTATTACTATTACTATTATTATTATCACTGTGATTATTATTGTGAAACGTAGTACTATTAATATTTGTTGACCATTGTAATGCTTCAGAAGATTGTAAATGTTGTTCATGAACAATAGCTGCACGTGGAACTTTATCCAACCATCGTGGTTTACTTCCGTCTTCTAAATAAACATAATTAAACCAATGAAAAATTGGTGAGTAAAATAATAATAATAATAATAATAATAATAATAAAGAATATACTTTTGTTATATTCCAATGAATAGAAAAATTGTATTTCTGAAGACGTTTCGTAACTTAATGTAAACCACTTCTTCAGAGTAAATAAGTAACCGGATAGTACAAAGGAAACAATGCAGAATATTTTGGGTGCAATCAAAATCATAATTATTCTGACCTATTATGATTTTGACCGTACTAAAAATATTCCGCATTGTTTCTTTTGTACTATTTAGACTTGGGTTAATTTAGTGTCGACTATTTATTTCCTCTGAAGAAGTGGTTCATATTAAGCTATGAAACGTCTTCAGAAATACAATTTATCTACTCATTGGGATGTAACCAAAATATGTATTCATTATCAACTTTCTAGTTAATGCTCAATTAATTTGAAACTATCAAGTCCAACCTTGGCATGGATACTAATAGTAAAAATAATAAAAATATTAATACAATTGGTAAGATTATAATTTATGGACGACCTTTCAGTGACGCTAAACTGACCGTGAAAGTGTCCACCTAATAACTACGGTCAAATAAGGGTTATAAACCTGTGTAAAAAATGAGAATTATTATTTACAGTTGATGATTAAGGTTAGGAATTCGACTTAGGGTTTTCATCATAAACTGACATCAGCTATAATGCCAGAACTCTATTTGTCCAAATAGATGAGTGAATTTGGCACCAAAAATCCGAGATCTGTCATTTTATATCTGATTGATTCGTCCATAAATTACAGTCTCGCCGAATATAATCAAACCAAAGATCTACACCAAAACAGAGTTCAATGAAGAATGCTGGTAGGTAGCCTATGCTCTTCCATAATGGGTAACAGGTGTAAGTAAGTAAAGATCTACAAATCATGCAAAATATTTCAAAACATTTAGTCAGTGAATTAGGAATTAGTTATCTGCTGTGAATAAAGAATTTAAACAATGTTCTGTATCATCATTGGATCTAAACTGAAATTTCTTCGTATGATCATATCTTGAAGTTGTAGCCTTTGACAAAAAAAAACAGTTTCATTCTAATTTTCAGATAAACTCTGATGTTCACTTTACTTTCAGTTTGTGACTATGTAAAAGAGACTAAACTTTTGTCATAATATATATTGACCTTTTAGATATTCAAGTAATGTTTCAGTGGTAATAGGCAACAGATCTTTACAATGTAATGAAGTCTAATAGTTTAAATGTTGAACATAAATAAGCAATTACGCTACTATTTTTGATGGAGTTTTGTTCTCTGAGCTGGATGGTATGGTCGTGATGACAAAATGGGAGAATCTCTCCAAAAAGCAGGCTTCCACTCAAGAACAGCTGTATTTTTTCCATTAGTGACTTTGTCAGCATTTTCTACCAACAAGTGTAAGATACAGACCTCCAATCAACTGCCCATCGGGATGGAGAATAGCTGGACAAAGTGGAAGAAAAATGGTGCAGCTAAAGATAACGGATGCACATTACAGGATCCGCAAATACCAACACGTCATAGAAGACCAAAAAATGAAGTTACAAAGGACGCTCACGTCAGAACAGTTGAAAATATTGACAACAGCCATCGAAATATCATACAAACGACACAGAGAACAAAGAAAAAACACACAACCAAACCATCCAGCTTAGAGAACAAAACTTCATTAAAAATTATTCTACTAGTTTTGTACTTGTAAAGTGCTTATTAACCGTTACTACAATTTCATTTCATTAATTTATTACATAATTTCTATGATCTCTTTGCTCAAATATTTAGTTTTCTTTGTTCACTGTCAGAACTATTGGACTTCACAAAAAACGGTAGCTTAATAAATCACATTATCATGATTTAGATAGCATTCTTAATAAATCGATTTCATTTGAGGTACTATTGAAAATCAAGAACAACTGGACAGTTTTTCTGTCTCATTATAGAATTCCATAACGCTTCTCATTCAAAACTTCACTTAAGTTCGAATTTACAACCTCTTTAGCTCAGATGAAGACCTTAACATGTAAATCACTAAGTTGACATCAAATGATTTACATTTGGAACTGCAATCGATTCACTATGTTAAGCGACTATCCTCTGTCGCTACTGGTGATTCTTATCTCGTCGAATGTTTAAATTTCACCAGTTTCAACATACTAGAACTTGTTGAATTATCCTTTGAAGTAGATTGTTAGTAAGCTAATGATGATCTTGCATTGTAGAAGGTTATGAACATTGAACCTTCAGAAATATAAATCAGCAAAATGCTAGGAACCATACAGATCATGTATAGATAAACTGTGACTGTACTTAGAAATTTAAACCCTAATAAACGGACTGTTGTCTGCAAGTATGGCCTATTTATTTCAATTTTAATGTTTCATTGAATGTGAATGAAATAATCGTGTTAATAAAAGTACATCAGTTTAAAAATATACTGAAGTAGAGTTTTTAAAGTTGAATAGTTTGAAATGTTTCACTTTACTTACTTTTACGAACTTGTATAAGGTCTGGTCTCATACCAACTCGAAAACATTGTTTTAATCTACACGATGGACATTCGCGACGAGTAGTTGGTGTGATTACATGTTCTCCGGATTTCGCTGTACATGTTAATTCCTAAAAAAAAACAAGAAACATAATTATTTCTCACGTAAATTAACATAGCTGGAATTATCAAAAAAGGGTTTTGTGGAGATTGTAGTAATTTCAATAGTTGAAATCATGAGTCAATTGAAGCTAGACCACCATGGATCACGTGGAAGCACTGGATGACCGTTTCGTCCTAGTATGGGACTCCTCAGCAGTGTGCATCCACGATCCCGATTCGAACCCAGGACCTATCAGTCTCGCGCGCGAGTCCTTAACCACTGGACCACTGAGCCGTCCGGCATCTGACGGTGTTAAAGTCTAACTTCAACTAATCCACAAAATTGCTCCACCGTACACCATTTTCTTCAGTGAGCTGATATCTCACAACAGACCTGGTCGAACTTCACTGGTAAAGGCTGGAATTGTATTTGCTCGTTTGTATAACCCTGATTGGGATTAAAATCTCTAAATTACTTACAAAGATATAATAGATAGAGTCAAAGTATAAAGAAATAAAGAAGACAGGAGTAAAAGTAGAAGTAGTGAACATTTATGAAATCCAAGATATATATTACAAGTTATGCAAGATTTATGAAATGGATGTAAATAAATTGATTACTGTATTCAAATTTATATTGATAAACAGTCTTCAGTCATTAAAACATTTCACGCTCAGAAAAGTGCTGATCATTGTAATTTATTAGATATGAATTCATTCAAATGATTCGTGTTTGTCTTAATATAAGTATCGATATGGGTTTAGGTAGAAAAACAGTTGAAGTTCCAACCAACATCAAAGTCTTAAAATCCTACTATATATAAATAAAATCATCGATTAGAAACTTGCATGAATTCGTGTCTTCCCAGTTTTGTTACACAATATGTTTGAAGGAAATGTGGTGAAAGATAGATGTAAGTCGATAGGGGGAGAATACATGAATACGAAGAGTAAAAGCATTTAAATCTATTTGTTTTATTTTATCCTCGTTTGGCTGGTCCTTAACCGGTAAGTTACCGGTTAAGTGATTAATACTAAGATGTATATATATTCTCAAATGAAACACTCAGTTATTTCATTAATTTTTACGGTGTCCTAGATTATTTATCCGTTACAAGCTGATTGATAAGTAACACAATCTGTGTAGGTTTATAGTTTCATCAACTGATTTGCTTTAAGTAGTTAAGGCATTTGAGTCAAATCTCAACACTGTTCACTTAGTGACTTTAATATAGTAGTAAATCATACTAAGTACATCTATACTTGACTACCTATAGCACATCGATTATTCTTTCTGGCCATATCGTAAAACTGAAGGATAAAAAGAAAGTAAATGTCGTACAGGCTTCTTAATAATAGGTAAATAAAAAACGACTAACTTGGGTCTTAGACCTATTCTTTTCTGCATAGATTCTAAAATTAGAAGCCAACACTACTGGAATGATTTGACTTTTGAAATATGAATAGGGAATAAACCTTAGTGAATCCCTTTTAAATTTTGAAACTGTGAATTGTATACAAAACGTATTTACTTCACTTTTTCATTGGTATCACCTAGTTGAACTGTCATAAATATAGTTTAGTAATTTTTGAGACTATATTAACATAATCAATATACTTGTACTTATCAAAGAAATATTTCTTATAAGATAATTTATAGTAGGATTGAATACTTCAATTGTCTCAGGTTCTAAACAAAGTTCTAACGTTCCAACGTTCTAACAGTTCAACGTTTGGTTCATTGAAAAAGTACTTGAAATGGCCTTTACCTGAATTTCAATAGTTTTTGTCCAATCAGTTACAAGAAAGCATTGGTTAAAACACTATTTCTCAGGGTAAAAAGGAAATGTACCATCGACAAACTGGAAGAATTAATGAACGTGGAAAAATATCTAAGAGACAAATTTTACCCACAAAGGTTTATTGACAAATATAAAAAGCCTAAAGAAAACAAGATGGAAATAATTACGGTCAATAAAAAGTCAATATCTATAAATTCTAACTTCAAAGGTAATGATGTCACATACATAATCAACAGGAGGCTGAATACTGAGCTAGCCAGAACTTATCCGGCTGTCAAACTCTTACTTCTCTATAAAACAACGTGTTCAATAACCCAATCAAAGATCGACAAGCAACCCTTTCATGTTACCACCAACTATATTTATAAATTAACGTGTACCTGCCAAAGCAGCTATACTGGCCGAACAGAAAGAAGGGCAAACCTTAGATTTTTCTTAACATGTTCCAAAACGTCTCAGAACAAGGGAAAGAAAGAATCTAAACAGTACAATCATCAAACATTTCCTTGGTACAGGACTTTGCTCTTTTGCATAATATATATATTTACAATATTCAGTCTATTCAATCTATTTACACCCTTTCTCTACTATACTAATGTGTCTTTAATACAACTTTCAACCAAACTCTTTCATGTATGTAATTTAAACCCATTATGTAATTATGATTCTTAAATATCACAGGTTGTAAGCAGCTGACGAGAATCTACGAAATAAAAATGAATTCATGCTATTCCGCTAAAATCTTTGTTTTTACTCTTTTCAAAATGATAAAGGGAACTATGATGTATGAAAGTTGTAACTGCTTACCTCGTAGAAATAAAGATGCATATCTTTTGAACTTGTTCTGACTAACTTTTAGTATGTTACATTATTTTCTATGGAATAATTTACTGCAATCTCTTCACATAACCAAAATACTACTATCATTTATTCATATTATCAATTTGAACTTTAGCTTGGATACTGAATTAGATATACTAACACCTTTGACTATAATCCATCCTACAAGTTAAACTATGGTGTAATAAAATGTCTAATCACTGTTATTACTTAGCGTCATTATTAGACTTCCCTTTATGCAAATATTTTACCTTTACACTGGCCTTGGTAAGTGAAACTAATTTAAATAACATCTATCACAGTCAGTAGATTATAAATCAACTTGAAACTTGTATAACAACAAACTTGTCAAATTAATATTTGCTGCTTTTGTTTTGTACACCCTAATGTTAACGATTATGAAATAATGTGAAGATTCCAGTGATTATACTGCACATTTAATTGATGTCATCAAATAAAAAATGAACGATATTAGTATGTAAATCTTAATAATGTTAATCTTGCAGAAGGTAAATTGTGACAGGAATAACTTAATGGTAACGTCTTAATCTATACAGTGGGATGGCCGTAGATCGAGCCACACTAAAAACATTAATATCTTCAAGATCACATCTGCGTTTCGCTGACAGGTTTCAACTAGCAAGAAACATAGATCTAGAGTTTCCTGTTGACTACCTCTAAGCATCTAAAATATAAATATTACCCATGGTTCCCAATCCCCTCCAGTTATGTCTAATTTATCTAATAAAGAACTATTTTATTGATGAGACAAAATTTCACAAGCCAACTTAATAAACTCATAATTATTTTAACAGTTGAATTCATGAGTCAATTGAAGCTAGACCACCATGGAAAAGCTGGATGCACTGAATGGCCGTTTCGTCCTATTGTGGGACTTATCAGCAGTGCACATCCACGATCGCACCTCGCGTCACTAAGGTTTATCAGTGCAACGTAAACATACTGTTGTATTCATGATTCAACTGTATTTTTCTTAAAAAAGATCTTCCATTTATCCACAAAACAAGATGGTCAATGAATATAAACAATTTTATGAAGAAATCTTTGTTTTCAACAGCTCTTCTTGTTTAAAATATCAATACAAACCAGTTGTTGTGTGTGTGTGTCATACTAATAAACATCCATTTGAAGCCTAAAAGGAACTTATCAACCAAACTGGGTAGGGAATTTCATTAAGTGGTATATACGTGATAAGTACTAGTTAACAAACAATAGACTTGAAAGCTCAACATTTCCGAGCACTACTATTTACATACATCAGTGCTTCAATTACTATGATATTATAAACACTAGGGTAAGTGAAAAGCATCAGTTCACTTGAGATAAGAGATACATCAAGCAAACATGTACCAACTAGTAAGAAACCTCGATCCTCTTCATATATAAAATCTAGGTGATTATATACTTCATTCATGAACTAATCATAATCAGTTATCATAAATGGTATTCACTCTGATATTTTAGATAGTTGCGAAATGTTATTATATACATTAACCTAACTCTATTGAACTAGTAAATAGTGATATTTCAATATACATCTTTTACATAACTAAGTATTTAAACTGTTTATGATAGTCCTAGTAGTATATCATATATACCATGACGATAATGTCCAAGAACAGATTCCAGTCGTCTTGTTGTTACATGAAGTTAGTAATAATAATAGTAATAATAATGGTAATAATAATAATAAAATGATAAGACGTTGGTCACTTAAAACCAGGTGGATACGTAGATATCTGTAATAAACAGATTCACTTTAGCTTGAAAAATCAATTCACATATACAAAGAATGTGAGAGACAAAGAGTAAAGTAAACTTAAACTGAACACTATCATAAACAATGCTTATTTTATTACCAAATTCAACTAGATAAATAAAAGCAAATATATTCATCTTATCATAAAGATTTTATTAAGGTATGTATATATGTATATTTACCTGTGTATATCAATAGAATGAACGAGACATACTTTAAGCATAATAGAAATAAGGTAAAATGATGACAGTTATCGTAAGAAATCAATTGACGACTACGTAGCCTGATAATGATCTATTTATGTACAGTCGACGTAACAAGACTTTATTCCAGCTTGAATGCTGAGTAAAATCATAGTTTTCTTCTTGTCTATTAGTTTGGCGCCAATTCATTGCTGAGGAGTCCCACAATAGGACGAAACGGCCGTCCAGTGCTTCCAGGTTTCCAAAGGTGGTCTAACATCAATCGGTTCATGATCTCAATCAAAAACTTAATAATCTCCACAACCCCTATACTAGTCATTAAGATGTTCACTCTCCATTATTCTGTATATTAAACAAAGACAAATACTTCCAGTGACGAAATCTCAAATGGTTAAAATGCAATT